GGCAGCTTCGGAAAATCGAGAAAGAGGGCGAGCGTCAGTTTGTCTTTCTCGATTCTCCGTTCTACGAGCTCACGTATGTGTGATTTAGCATAGTGTGATAAAATGAAATAAGCCACCGAGGGATCCGTCTGGCATCTCTGGAGGTAGACCGTTGTAGCGGCGACGTTGCTGATTTTTCTAAGGAGTAAAAACGATCATCATCGCCATTGCAACGGCAAAGCAACTACCTAGCAACGAATCTTATTAGGAGTTATTGATGTTACGGAACCATGCATACCGTAGAAAAAATGGCGGAATATGACGATGCATTGACCGTTGCTAAGAAAGTTTTACACATTCATTTTCAAAGAAACGCTTTATTTTCATTTGTCAAATAGATGGAAATATAATTCTGCAATATTTTAAATATACAACAAATATTTATTTTACAAATTTCACCTCGAAGTTTAGATGTTTTTAAAGTAAAAACAATATTTTGTGGGGGGAAATTTAAATGATGAAAGGGGTACTGCGATGAAGGAACATAATTATAAGAGAAATGATGATATAAATTAAACGTAACGTTTACGGTCTATAAGCATTCCTTTGTTGTTACTGATCTGTTCGATTTAGACCTTGTCAACACATCTAGAGGTTACACATAACTGCCTCTGACTCACTGGAATTCGGGAGCCATTATATTATCTAAACAAAAAACCCGAACGTCCTCTCTGCGCGGAGAGAAAGGGGCTTTGTGTACACCGTACGGTAGCGATGTACTGGCTATGCAAAATACTTTGAAACGATTTAACGCTTACAATTTGAATTTTGTTATGTTCTAACTGCAAAATAAGTTAACTAATAAGCCAATAAAATTATAACAGCTTGTAAAAAATGGATCTTTCAACGACGTGTTTTTATCATATTCCGGGAAGTAATTAAACAAAAAAATCGATACGTCGACCGATAAAAAATGTTATTGAGAATATGTATACCAAACATTACATTCGGTTAAACGGTTTTTAAGTTATCACGTAGGTACACCAGCGTACCATGCACACCATTACGTGGTTCAGAATAACGACATTTTCTCTGTTATAAATAAATATAGATATTTTTTAAAAATTGTTTCCAAAAGTTCAAGAAATTATTTATATATACGTGGTAAACAGAGGTCATTTCGACAGAACACACATTTCCTGTAAAAAATTCATAAAAATACCTCTTGTTTTAGGTTCATTAAGGTGGTGTCATCTTTTAAATAAATTAAATGGCGTCACGGTCATCAATAATTCATTAATCGTCAGTTTTAACACGAATGTTGCATTTTTAAACTTGTAATAATATGTCGTGTAAGAATTGCCATCGAACGTTCGCGAAATCGGTTGCCCAGTCAAAAGTTAGAATCACGACCGATCGATAATTGGACCGGCTGTAAATCGAAACTTCTAGAAGTATTTTCGTTATGAAACATAAGAATTGCGACCGATAGTTCCGTTGACGATAATCGAAGCTTCGCGATGTTTCGCGAGATCGTTAATGAACGCTCGCGCGCTTGTTAGGGCTCACTCGCGGTTAGCAAAGAATTCCCTTAATATCGAATCATCGATATGGCATTGCGATATCGCAACAATTTTATGTGTTTCCTTGTTTTGCAATTGAAAACAACTAAGACTGACATAGTAACGCCGATTTTATGTTTTCGTTGTTTTAATTGTAAAACAAGGAAAAACATAAAATCACTGCGATATCACACCGCTCGTCTGGTTTCGGCCTAACTGCATCTGCCAAAATACACACGTAAGCTACGTTTGCTCATCGATAAGGAGTGTATACAGGGTGTTCGACCACATCTGGGAAAAATTTTAATGGAAGATTCTAGAGGCCAAGAATATTAATTTCTTGGCTGAGATTTCATTAAAAAGTTATTAATAAATTAAATTAAAAATTTCACATCATTCTGAAAAAATTATTTTTAGTTGCGAGGCTCAATTACAATCACTTTTGGTCAATACACATATCCCTAAAATCCTACCCACTTCCGAGAAAAAAATTCGAGTTGGTACTAAAATTTTTAGACGAAATTAAAAAATTTCAAACCGTTCTGGAAAAATTATTTTCGGTTGCGGGGGTCAATTACAATAATTATTGGTGAATAGACTTACCCCTGAAATCCTACCCACTTTCTGGAAAAAAATTCAGTACGGGCGGAACTTTAAACGTTAGTAACTTTTTAACGAAGCCTCCATCAACAAATTAGTATTCTTGATTTTCGTCTTATTTTGGTCTCTAGAATCTCCCATTAAAATTTTTCCCAGGGGTGGCCGAACACCCTGTATACATTTAAAATAAACCGGACGCCTGATCGGCAGAATAAGTACATCGGGAGTGTACGGTTGAAAGAAACCAGTCACCCAGACGCCCCATTGTCGAGCAAGCGTCAAGAGTTTGTATACAGTTGAAATAAACTGGACACCTGTTTGTAAATTCTTGCATTAGGAGTGTAAAATCTGGCAGAGTAATCATACAGTTCTTGTAATAATTAGATTTATCATTTATTCGCATGGGAATCTATTAGTTCGTTGCTAGCTGATCGGGGTTAACAAAGAATATTTGAAACTTGCCTGTACCTGTACCTAAATGTATTTAACGAAACATACGTACATGTATGTATATGCTCCTTCGTGTTTCTAGAAAATTTGTTCCAAAAAAATTATTCTGGTTTTCCCTGAAATCCTTTCTACAAACTTCTATTTTACTAACGATTCTTTAAGGAAACTAATTGTGACTTTTTTAAAAGATTAAAGTTGTTATTTTGAATTAAAATTTATTTATTATTTTTATGTCATGAATATAATTATAAGGTTTAGAAAACAGTTTTTCAAAGAATATGGATCATTCTTGATTAAAATAAGACAAGGAATACTGCGTAATGTTAATAGCTTTGAAAATAAATGGAGAAATAAAACGAAGGATAAATATCTTCGATAAGGAATCGTTTTTACTAAGCCACTGGCGAAAGAACGGTTACGCTTGTGAATGGAGACAACGCTGCGCGTCACCGGTGCTACGATATGGCAACATTGCGCCCAGTTCTGTAGCGTGGTTGGGTTCTTACCTGATTTTGCAGCTGTCTACTGTCTACCTCTAACAGCTCAACCTAAAGTAATCCGACGAATTATAATGAGTTAGCATTTTTTGTAATTGCTAAACAAAGAAGATAAATAGGGCTGTATACTCAAATTTGTTAATTTTCTTATATTATTAAAAAATGGCTATAGAGATCTCAATTCCAAAATGTACATTGCACGATCTGCGCAACGTCAATTTCTATTCATTTTCAATTGGTTAATTTTAATGAGTCAACGTTTATTATAATTACTAAATAAAGAGGACAAATAAGACTGTATTCTCAAATTTGTTTAGATTTAACAATTATCCCCTGTTATTAGAAAGTAGCTGTGCAGCAGAGGCTACACAATTTTATAGTTCCTAGCATGTATAATATGTATGTATAGCGCACGGCCATCTTGGTGTGGAAAGTCAATGAATTTTCAAAACGTCCACGGCCAGGTCTGCTTTCGAGAAATGCAAACGACATTAGTCGCGATCAGTGATGGACATTTGTGAGAATTTTGGTCATGCGCACTGGAGCGCATGATCACTGCCGTATACACTTAACTAGAATTTAGGGTACCGTTGGATCCCAGTAAGGAACAAAAGAAGTTACAGAGAAAGAGACAAAAAATTTCCTCTTAATCTACATGAGTATAGCTAGAGAAATACGTAGGGGATCTTCGATAAGTTAATTTTTGTGCGATTAGCGAGCATTTGAAGTAGAAAGTTCAATTTTGTACAAAACATGGGAATTCCCAACAAGCACCTCTTTTTGCGCTAAAGATACTATGGTAGATCAATGGTAGCGGACGACAGGTAGATGTGACGTCAGCTACGCATGCGCAGAAAGGAATCCCACGAGGGAAAATTCCAGTGCGCATGACCAAAATTCTCACGAATGTCCATCACTGGTCGCGACGACGTTTGTCGTTTGCCGACAATTCGAACGGGTGGGCGACGCAAGAGCAAGAATGGAAGGTTCACATTTGCCTTCTTTCTTTACACCTAAAAATTGCCCAAAGTGCTGTGTTCATTTTGAGCAACTTTTTAAGAGTCGAGAAAGAGGGCGAGTATCGTTCTGTCTTTCTCGCGAAGTGGAATGAGGAGTTGCAAATACGTTTTTGCCAAGTTAATTTTTAAAGAAATAATGTATTACAATTTGAAATAAAAAATAGAGGTTTTGCGGTCAACTTGGCGATAAGGTACATCCTTACGAATTTTAATAATCTTGAAATATGTTATTAAGGGCATCATTTTGAAAAACAAATTGTTCAAAATGATACCCTAAACAACATACATATTTCAAGCCCTAATGTATAATGTATACTTCATTGATAAGTTGCAAATTTTTTCTGGAAATTTGTTATATACCTGTATACAATTTTGGACCATACAGCTTTCATTCCGTTAAAAAACAAAAATATTTCTATAATTTCATTTCTATTCTTTCATTTCTTGCATTCATTTTTATAACTTGTTGGTAACCTTGCGAAAAATGGGCCGAAAAAATACATTGGATGTAAGGTCTACTTGTATACCGGGTCTATGTCAATATTAACAATTTTTCAATGAAAAATATAGAAAACATACTTGGGTTCAACTTTAACATAATTTCTTGTAATACCACCTTTCCAAAATTAACGGATATGATTCGTCATAAATATGATAAAAAGTTTCTTCCACTTAGCACTTCGATCAAAAAACATATTTGGTGAAAAAATCTTTTCCATTCTATAAGTCTTTTATGATCATTAATTGTTCACAATAAAAATTATAATTTATATAACTGTATATTAAATATTTGTTGTTCTAACTAATGTTAAAAATGTAACGGCTCCGCATAAAAATAAAATACCTTATCAAATATTTCCTTAACATGTTGACTGCCAAACTAAAACCTTAAAATGTTTTTCTAGACCAAAACTTTGATTTTAGATAATTGTATTTCATAATTTGTCTTAACACTTATTTTCGTAACCTCCCTAAAATTCATGAATCCTATTCAAATTTATTTCCTTTAACATTTCAACTTGAGAATTAATTGTTTTAGTTCCATAGTGAAAAGTTCTGTTACCTATATGTATATGGATGACGTGGCAGTCAAAGCATTAATAAATGTATACAATGAAATTAATATTGGATGTATGCTATATTATATTGCTAATAATAAATATAGTTACAATTAAAAACAATCGTGGTACTAACGATGGAGAGATACTTCGAAATGAGATATTAAATCCTGAAAGTATTAAAATTATGTTATTTTCAATGATAAACTATATGTAACTGTTTTTTATAATATTTAATTTATTACTTTTATCATGTGGGTCTCGACTTCCACATAGGCGATAACCTAAAGTAGTCTTGCGTTTTGTAGAAATATATCCTGGAATGTATAAACTCGGTGCATCTAATCGTCCAGTTAACATAAGTTTGTTAAAATCTTCTTCTAATTTATTAACGATTGGACCTAAATGTAAAATTATAAAATCATTATTTAAATATTGGATTTTAAATACTTTATAAATATTCCGAATTACCTTTAAAATGTAATAGAAACTGAATACATGCACCATTGTGTAAAGTTTTAGTTTTTCTATTGTCTATAGATAGCATCCATTCAGGAATACCCATAATTTTTCGTACATCCTCTAAAAATTGTGCTCTATAATAAGAAATATATATTGAATTATCATATAATATTGTAAAATTAGTAACAAATTTTATTTAGATAGGGTATTGCATGTGTACTAACACCACGAAACGAGGTGGTTTTCTTATATTTGCATATTTTACGATGTCATTATCTGGTTCGATATTGGCACACGCAAATCTATTGCGTCCGAAATCTTTATCAAAAATAATAATAGATCTACCCATTGCAGATTCTGATCCACCTAAAGGAAAATTAGAATCTGTAAAAACTTGTCTCTTTAATCCTATATTGATGGGACCTAATCTGCCTGATATATCTCCTACGTAACATCGTAACAGTAAATCAGGTCCACATTCTTGTCTATATAGATCATCCTATGAAATAAAAGTCAAATTATTTCATAGAATTAAAATATTTACTGTTAGATATAATTGTAATTAATATTACGTTTAAAGGATCAGCCAATTGTGTAAAATAAGGATTCCATATATATCCACCTGCCACACATCTAGTGTCCTTTACCTGCACAGCTGCATCTACACCCACTGGATTTACATATATTGCCCAATTGTGGTTTTTTGTCTATAAAAAAATATTTTAAATATTTATAGATTGATTCCTAAATATAAATTATGTCTAATGTACTTACAACATTACGATCATGTTTACCAGGGTGTTGCAATTTTACTTCGATTACAGTGTCGCTCCGACTACCATCTCGATATACCAGTTGTAACTACAATTATTAGTTATTATTAAAATCTATTTCTACGTCTATTTCTCTATTAAGACGTAGAATTCTTAAATCTACAATACCATTCTTATGTAACCATATGCAAAGCCTTGTGGATGATGAAAAGAAGCAATTGCTCGTAACTCATCAGCCTCAGATGGTGCATATCCTCTTTCTATGGTTGAACATGCCCATCTGAAAGAAAAAGTACTGTTAAATATACACAGAATTCCTCCTAAAATGTTTGGTAAAATTTTACTAATGTATTCTTGTAATCGTACATACTACAATACTAGAAATATAATCAATCACATGTTCAAAAAATATTTTTTTAACGAGACAAGAATAAAACATTTGTGTCACTCTGAATTACTTAAAAAAATATTAAATATTTAAAATTTAGTAAATTTAAGTCGCATTTTGAATACTCGATATACTACAGGTACTTATGATTGGCAAAGTAATAATAATAACTTTTTATATTTTAAATATTATTTCACTAATCATTATTATTATTTATCATTATTATAAAAACTTTCTAAACGATACTACTTACTATTTGCTTATAAAAGTGTTATTTAAAGAATACTTTTGTACCGGTGTACAATAATAAATAGATAGTTTATATTGTAATAAATTATTGAGTATGCTAACATCTTTACTTTTTAATACCTTAATAGATTAGTAATTTTTCATATATTTGACAATTATAGAATCCAATACAAGTATCATTATCAATTATATAAATACGATAAATTACAATTACCTTATATTCTTTTTCTTTTTGTGAATTACTATGCTTCTGCCTAATATACTTTTTGATCCAAACAATGGAAGGATCGTATCATTAAAAGTTGATGTATATTTTTTCCTGTTCTCCAATGTACCAAATTTTCCACTGAGATCACCAACTTCGTATTGATCAGAAGTTCCTTCATTGGGAAGCGGTGTGTTACTCCCATTGATGCTGAATGGATTCCAATGTCCATATAAAGATGTACTTTCGCATGGAAATTCCAAATCTTGTTCTATCGAAGTCTAAAATATGTAAATTTGTATTACAGGGAATTAAAAAATACTAATATCACTATATTTATATTACCATGTGTACATGATATCCACTCATTATTCCACTAAGACCATCTAAATTTACTTCTATGTTCGTAACATCATATTCAGTTTGTTGTACGAATTCCAGTTTTCCTCTTAACGAAATATTCTCTCCGTTTCCAAACCAATCTCTTGCTACAGCTTTGCGATTATACACTCTACTAATTCTGAATAAAAATTATAATATTCAGTGCATATTTATATTAGAATTAAATTTCTATTTCTTATTAAATTTACATTGAGCATGCTAGTCTTTCTCCTCTTGCGCGTGGTCCATGGTCATCATATATTACCAAACTTTTTCCTAATATACTATTAGGTCCCGACAAAGATAACATTGTATCCGTAAACAATTTTCGTGTTAAAGTAGATCCATAGAGTTTTCTACCAGCAATATCAATCGTACCATGTCTTGTTAGATCTCCTGCCCTACACAATGTTATTTCATCCATTGAACAGTATTCAGAATTCGAATCCTGTTCTACCTAAAACATTTGAACAAATAATATTACAAAATAAAAAAAGACGATTGTATTGAGTATTATAAATACTTCGACTAATTTTATTAATTATTATACTTTATATGGGTTATAAGATTCTCCGGCGCTCAAACATCTGCCTGTCCAGTTATAGTAATCTTTACCTGGCGGATTGTCATGAATCATCCATCTAAATATATATACATTATAAAATATTCGTGTATAACTTTAAAAAAGTTATTATTTCCAATAAACGTACTTGAACATTATACCTATGTAATGCCGAATTGTTTAAAGTATTACCATCTGCATGAATTAAATTTTCAATTATGATAGTAGTGTCCATTTCAGGATAATTTTGTGGCTGACGGAAAATTATTCTTCCAACAATAGGATATCTGTATACTACTTGTGCAGTTAACATTGGCATTTCTCCAGTATTATCTGGCAAGTAAAGATTCAAAGTACCACACATCCATGGTACTGCACTCGTATTATCGGTTTCATTATATCTGAAGAGTGTGAAAACAGTTTATTTCTATAATCGTATAAGCAAGAATGAAAAATATGGAGGGCACTATTACTTGTGAAGAAGAAGGCTTCTATGAACGACACTGTAGCTTCCTGAAAGAGGAAGATATGTGTCCCAATAAATTCCAGTAAGTTTCGCACTTCCTGGTAAAATATCATAATGATACGATCCTTCTTTGCGATTTTGAAGTTTCCCAGAAAGATCACCAATAGCATATTGATCTTGAGTTCCAAATCCTGATTTACACAATTGTACTTTAAATTGTAGATTTCAAGCTTAAAAAACTTAATACTAGTTAAAAAATACATATATTAATTGTTTACCTGCTGGTGGCACAATTGTTACGTTAATATTACTTGGATTATATACATCTTTAGTCGTTTCACATAATTCGTCAGTATTACTTAGTGTTTCTGTTACCTTTGGTGGCAATGCATGAATTTTGTATGAATGTATTTTAGTCGCATATCTCAATCTTGTTTCTAAGTCATTGACAGGCGTTAAGGAAATATTAACCCATGTTGGCTCGAACGGAGTTACTTGAGTCAATACTACCTCTCCTTTTATGCCATGAGAACTAATTAAAGTTCTAAATAATTAAAAGATAAAATAGAATGAAATTAAATATATATAGAAAATATTTAAAAGTATCTATACAAGGTGCTCCATGCAATTGGGAAAGCTATATTTCTAAAACTGTTAAAAATACAAATGAATATTATAAGGAAAAATTGAACAGTATCAAACGATGCACAAACTGAATATGATTTTATCCATTGTTATACATTCTATGCATTGTTATAAATTCTATAATTTTGATCATACTACTTTATACAATGTTTTAATCTTGGTATATGAGTATTAAGGTACTTATGCCCTAAACTTCATAGTTGAAGAGTTATAACACATTAAAGTTTACTAAATTTTTTCAGTTTATCTTTATTCATTTTCGTGGAGACATACTTGTGTATTATTATGCATTAGAATGCTTGTAAACATGAGTCTACAGTATGCGACAAAATGATAGCACACCCTGAAAGTATATTATTTCCTTAATTTTAAAAGATTATTTTATTATGCTTTATATATTTAGAGCGTTTAATGGGTATAACAAATCATTTTAGTCGATTGACAAAAACAACGAAAGCAAAATGATAGCATACATTGTTATAACGTAGAATATACTTCGTTAATGTTATTTCTAATACTTCGTGTACCCTTTATTATGTACAATCTGAAGCAAACGTTTTAGGATGGATTTGTATAGCTTTTTTATATACTTTCAGGTTATTGTATTCCAATTTTGTATTATACATTCCTTTAATTCCTTAACAGTTTGAAAATTCCCAACAGTTTTCGATTATATTAATGTCAGAAGAACGAGCTGGCCAGGCTAAAGTTTGTATATTATTACTTCTTCAGTAACTCTTTACGCATTTTGCCGTATGAACAGTCGCATTATCCTGCTGAAAAATGAGCTGTTCACCAGCAAGTGTTGTTGCATACTTGTTTATTTGTTCATCGATAAGTTGCATATACTTTTGAGTGTTTAGCGTTCTATTTATAAACACAATTTCTGCTTTGCCGTAATACCCAATTGCTGACCACAACATGACTCCTCCTCCACCCATTTGATTACAATTTAAAATCTGCTCTTCCTTCCTAAGATCATGGAAATAATATCTTGCCCCATCTGGTCCATCCAAATTAAAACGTTTCTCGTCGGTAAACATAACTTTTTACCATTTCTTTCTTCAGTGAATATGATTTTCCGCAAATTGTAATCGAGCTTCTCTATGTTGATTAGTTAATGGTGGCTTTTTAACTAATTTCTTTCATTTTAAAAGTTTGGTTCATTGAATACAACGTTACACATTTCTTATATTAGTACTTAACCAACTTCGACAGCTATCTGCCTTACTGTAGAGGTAGAATTAGAAGCTGCTCTCAAAATTGCATGTTCTTCGCGAGTTGTTGTTGCACTCGGTCTACCCATACTCTTCTTGTTTCCATATTTTGTTTGATTCTTCAGCAGATTATAAATCACTTTTCGACCTCGTTGCACAATATAAGCAATTTTTGAAATGGAGAAACTTTCTTGTCTTAATGCTTTAATTGTTTTTATTTCTCTGTCATTAAATTTTTTGCTGCGACTCATCATGCTTAATGTTTTAGATAAATACTGCAAAGACAAATTACACTATGTAACAATATAAACACAATCTAATGTCACGTTCCATGACTCACAGAGTCAACTGAAATAGAAAAACCTTAGACTGTGCTATCTTGCTGTCATGGCAGTGACCACTTTGTTTACATTTTGAGCTATCTGCGAAGACTACTGTTTACAATCTGGATAGAAACAGTTTCAGCAAAGATTTGCATCTAGTATACAACATCAGAAATAATAATCCTCAACTACATATACAATTTTTACTTAAATTACAAGGTGTGCTATTTTTTTGTCGCATACTGTATGTCTAATATCAATTCATGTAGGATTAACTTTCTTGTTTATTTTCTTATGGAGATAATTAAAAAATAAAGTATATCACATAAAGTTAATGTTACATTCTGTTCCTAGTGTTCAAGATGTTCAACATCATATTTGTTTAGAAATACCGAAAGTAATACATAATAAAAATGTTAAGTAACGTAAAGAAAATAGTGAAACAATGTTTGGACTAGAATGGAAGACCGTATAAACATTTCGTGTATCGTGAATAATGCATAACATCTTTAAAGTATACTAAAATAGTTTAATATGCTTTAAAGTGGTATAATTCTTAAACTATTAGGTTAAGGGGATAAGTACTTTAATATTTTTTAATAAAGTAGTGTATCAGTTTTAGAGATACAGCTTATCCCAATTGCATGTGGCATCTTATATGGTGTACAATTTTGAAAATCTGAGGTGCATTTTAATAAATGTAAAGAAATGAAAAGTAATGGGAAATTAAAATATTTGTGAAGTCTTACTTGGCCAAAATTGATTTCCGATGATTAATCTTGCCACAAACTAAAAAGGAATCGTCGTGCGTCGGATGAAAGATCACTAAGTATAATAGACGGTGAGGGCCAAGCAAATCAGCAGGTAGCAGAGACAATTCGGAATCTCTGTACAAAGTTTTATACCTTTTCTGATAGTTGGTAGCCACTTTTAGTTTGCCTAAACGTGTATCAACATCGCCGATGGCTTTTCCATTACCAGCATTATTTGGATCAAAGACAGATTGTAGAATGTTGCAACTCGATTTATCTGGATTATAAGTGTATATTAAAAATTTAATTTGTTCAAAGTAAATCGTCGCTGATTAATGAATGGGATATATTTTATAAAAAACTGAACCTTTACTGATGTCAAAAATGTCAGTTACATAAATCTTCCAGTAATGTTCTGTGTAGTCCACACTTTGTAATTTCTGTTTATTTACGTGATGCAAATCCACGTAAATTATCGTATCGGTGGTGTTAGCACCAATGTGACCACCCAACCAACGGAACCAAATAGTTCCCGCTATAGGTCCGTAAAAATGTGCTTCCGCAAATTTTTCTACATTTTTCTCGAGTACCTTAGGAATTATCGATATGGAAAGAAGTCTTTTTTAATTTATACTTAAGAAGCATGCAAAATTAATTTTCCGTTTCTGAAAAATTACCGTGATTGAGGCGCAAATGGTTCTGTCCGAATATGAATCCTGAAAGAGCAAGCTTTTACCCCATAAACCTTTTTTGCCTGTTAAGCTTATTCCTGAAACTTCCACCGATCCTGTTTCATTTCCGGGCATATCCAGTGGTCCAACAAATTCTGTCAAATCGATGACACTACGAAATTTATAATATCGTTGAAAAAAAAGAAAGTAGAAACAGGTGTTTTAAAATAAAAATGTAAAAAATAAATACCTTTCTCCAATGTATCGACGGTTGCATCTATCGTTGACAACAGTATAATCAACAGGGAATTGAGTAACTGACCAAAACCATTGTTGATCCGGATATTGGAGTGTAGCTTGAAGTGAAAATCGAATTCTTACAGATGTTTCTGTTGCTTTCTCGAATCGAATTTCTCCGTGAAGTCCGCCGGAAGAAATATACGCCGCAAGACGTAATGCATGCCCAACGGAAGCTATAAAAACGTAAGTGTACAATACAATATAATATTAGAAAAAGGATATGCGATGTAAGAGAAAATTAGTGTTTAATGTCTGTTATGTAGGATAAATTTTCGTAAAAATATGTTGATTTTGTGGTGTCCAAACATAAAATATTTTTTTTTAAATATATGTGTGTTTTAATGTTTTATTTCGGTACTTGAATTTTCAGCGATGATGACTAACAATAAGGACTCTTTTATACGACGATACTTGTATAAGATATATGTCGGAAACTTTGATCTCAGCATAGGTTAATCACTGTCCGATATTTCTCTTAAGTTTATGTGTACCTACGATCTGTATCGCATACAAGTATTGTCGCGTGAAAGGGTTCTAAATGTTATTATTCTGTGCATGTGCATGTGTATTATAATATAATATTACTTACCGTAAGTTAATAAAATAAACCACCACATCTTTCCGTGTTATGGAAGAATATTTAATGCATTTTTTAAAAGTAATGTATCAAGTAGCTAACTTGTATTCTAACCCATGCTATGTCAAGCAGTTACCTTGTAATGAAACCAGTCAAGGTAACGCGGCTTATACTTTCTCATTTCTTCGAACGCTTATGGTGGGAGTCTTTTGTGAAAAAGGAGTCCGTTGACTGTCATATTGAGAAGGAAAGAAATCTGTAATGGACACAAGAAACAAATCGACATCTAGCTCGTTAACAACGTTTATTAACTCAACATTTGTAAACATAACAATTAGAAGTTTCAACGTATCTCATATAATTTGAATATGTTTAAACAAATATTCGACGGGAAGACTGATGAACCTGATGAAAAACCGAAATCAATGACCTTTAAATGACCTTGAGCTTAGAAATTTATAAAAATTTATTAAGAAAATTAGTTTCTGAATGTAAACGGTAAACACATTTGTTCTAGATTCGACCTTTTGTTTATAGTACAATTATTAGTGCCAAATATGACTTAAACACATTAGTTCGATACATGCAACGAGAGAATATCAATCTAATAATGAATCGTTTTTCTAATTTCGAAAAGGATGATATCTTATTGACGTACAAGTGTATTTACATTCAGTTAGAAAAAAACACTGAAAATGAGTTACGTTTACATTTCCCTTCAAGGTTATCCAAATATCATTGTCGTTGTTGAATAGGTTTTTCAGGCGCAATGTTACGAGTAAAAATATGTAGTGTTATTTAAAAAAGTCAAGGTGGTCTCAATTTTTTATTGAATAAAAAGTTTCTTGAAAATTTTTTTTATTGCAATTTATTGTCATGGAAGTACTGAATAATTTTTGTTAAAAACATTTTCTCATCAGATTAGCACAAGTACCGGGAAAATGAACAGCCGGTTACAGTACCGGTAACGATGAACAGCCATTCATGATTACTTTTACTTAAATGATCAAGAAACTAATATATTTTTAAAGTGGAGAATTAAAACATAACATTTTGTATTCATACGCCTCACACGTAACAATTAGACAGTTAAAAAACTTTTATCTGATAAAAATTTGGGAATTGTACGAAGTAATTAAGTTATACAGGGTGTTCGGCCACCTCTGGGAAAAATTTTAATGGGGGATTCTAGAGGCCAAAATAAGACGAAAATCAAGAATACCAATTTGTTGATGGACGCTTCGTTAAAAAGTTATTAACAATGAAATTCAACAATTTTAAATCGTTCTGGAAAAATTATTTTCGGTTGCGGGGGTCAATTACAATTATTTTTGGTCATTACACATACCCCCGAAATTCTACACACTTTCGAGAAAAAAATTTCTTACCGAAAATCTAATTAGGTGCCCAAATTCGATGAAAAAAAAATTTCAAATCGATTTGGAAAAATTATTTTCGGTTGCGGGAGTCAATTGCAATAATTATTCGTGAATAGACCTACCCCCGAAATCCTACTCATTTTCTAGAAAAAAATTCAGTACGGGCGGAACTTTAAACGTAAATAATTTTTTAATGTAGCATCCATCAACGAATTAGTATTCTTGATTATCGTCATATTTTGGCCTCTAGAATCTCTCATTAAAATTTTTCCCATTTTTTTATATACCCTGTATATAAATTATTTAGTTATTTGCATTTTATTAGTAATCTTGGTCGCTTTAATGTTGTTAGTTATCCACGTGTAATAACAATATTGTTGTCATTATTAATATCGATACAACATTATTTAATTAAGAATTTGACTGTTTACTCTTATACTTAAGTACAGTAGTTTTAAACGATTATTATGCAAAAGATATATTTTCTAGAATAGAGTGCAATTATTTCTTAAATATATTCTAGAATTTTTTTAATAGAATGGATTCATATTTAAAACATTTTTACTTGGTTTAAGTGATTTCACTTTTTTTAAATTTGAATTTTATGTTGTTTATTAAAGCAATAGAGGTAAATAAAGACAAAATGAGGTCATTTATTTTATGTTATCCAATAATACATTTATTTTATTCCAAAATTCAATTTTATTAAAAATGTTTATTTTTTGATTTATAAAGAAATCTTCGCTTCGGAAAATTCTAATAAATATATTTAAAAAATCTTAGAAAAAATTAAAGGTCTTATTTATTCCATATTTGAGTAGTATAATGTTTAGTATTCTTGGAATACACATTTCTTAGAACGGTTAATATTTGAACAAAGTCATTTAAATTGTTTGTTCATATTTTTTTTAATACTAAAACACTCAGTATCAAAGGGAAAGTTAGTTAGTGTAGCTGGTTTAAAATCCTTTTTAAGGTAGATGAAAATTGTCTCCTTGGACTATTGTCAATTTTATTGTTCAACTGTAATCAATAAGCGATACATACATATAATCTGCTGTATATGTATGATCAGGAGAAATTGAAAGTTAATAATGCCATACAGGTAAAAAATAGGTTGAAATCATTTAATTAGATTCATATTAGTGTTGAAGAAGTACATAGAACATTCCAGTAAGTCAGATCGAAGAAAAGACTCAATGTTAAAAAGTCGCTGTTAACAAAACGGTACATGATACTATCAAAAATCTTTAGAGCCAATTAAAACAAGAAGTAATAAATTAAAAAGAAACAAAATTAAAATTTATCATTATTATGGGAAAATATATTAAAAAAATGGAATGAAATTAGTCTTTACTAATGCAAAAAACTTGTAGAAATTCTGCCCAGAAGTATTCAATTCATTATTGATGTCAATGGTGGATACACTAAGTATTAAAGTTATTTAATGTTTAGTCACATTTTTGATCACATTAAAATTACGCCTATTGTTTAATTAATGTTCTAATAAAAACTATGTTCAATATGTTTTGTATTTTTTGTATTAATGTAAGACTTTAAAGTATTGTATGTTTATTAAATACAGTTTCAAAAATGTATAAATAGAGGCTACAGTTTAATTAAATAAAAATTATAAGAAAGGAAAGTACTTGATCAATTTCGAGGGTTACTGTATTTTTATCAATATATTTATGAAACTATTATTTCGCGTAAATAACTATTATCTTCAATTAAAATGGTATTAATGTGATGTGATGGGAAGTATTGTAACGTATTCGTCTCTGTTAATTTTGTTTAATACTGAAAACGTAATGAAGGGACTTCAAACGTATTTTTAAAAATAGTTTGAATTGGCTCATTAACACCGGAAATAGTAAAGTCGATCAAGTTATGTGACTTACTCTACATAATTGACATATTAGTACAGTTACACATAATCAAGCAAATCATTAATTATGTCCGAATAATCTGTTATCAAAAAGGATTTATGCGTATTAGAAATATATTTCCCATCAGCAGATAAATAAGTACACTCTACGTGGAAAGTTTCTAGATATAGAACTGCTAAAAATAAATATGTTTTTTTCTTCCTGAGATTGTGAAATCTTTCAGAAGTTATTTTTCATAACGGAAAATTTTTATAACGGTCTCATAAGGGTTTCTTAATTTTTGTATATTAATAACATTTAGAGTTTGCATTCCTCCTTCGTTACAGGACTTTTGAGATATAAAAATAACGATAACGTTTAATTTTAATTTTAACGTTTAATTAATTACTCAAAATTTGTTTATATTTTTTAAACGATGAATAAGTACTACTTCGTTGTTATTTTATATCTATGAATGTGAGTTCAAAATATACAAAATGTCTAACCTTCTAATCTTATTTGTGTTGTAGCAAAACAATTTCCTTCCGATGAATCTTAGAATTGAGAAGAATGGATTAACGACGATGTGTCGAAAGTCGTGACTAATTACTAGAGCATATGTAATAATTTAAGGATAGATCTAAAATTCCTTGATATCTTCTGCTCTCAGATATCGGACAGTTATTTATGGAAACCAAGCGCTTTAGGCATTGGTGCAGAAATCGGAAATCCTTGTTAGAATAAGCATTGAAAATGTTGTGTTACAATCGTATTCTATTAATATTTAGCAATTTCTTGTTTCGATATTACTTTAGTTTTAAGATGTAATTGCGTAATATGGTCTTGTACGTTTATGGTGGGACAAATTTATAATTTTTAAGAAAATGTGTTTGGATATATACCGAATGTAATGGAGTAGCTTTTTTCAAATAAGATTGCTGAGCAAATTTTAAACTACAATTTGTATTCTTTATGATTAAGCTTTTTTTCTATTTATTTGCATACATTGAGATAGGAAATAACAGAGAAAACTATTATTTGCCTTTAGTTTAAAAAATACAAGGCACGATTTTGATATCTTTATTAGTCCGTCATAGATTATAAAGCTATACTTTATTAAAATAATAAAACTAAAAATAGTGCATTTACATAGATTTAGTTTGTCGCTTGCAGCGAACATGTAGAACATTTCTTAAAATGTTTCAATAATAGTCTGGTAAAATTGTAAAAATCTGTCGAATGTAAAATGCAAATGTCATAAAAATGTTCTTCTTTGGGTAGTAGAGAATGTCCAATTTTAGTTCCTGTATCAGAGTGAACTAGAGCTGCTATTTTAATTCAACTTTCATTTTGGTAATTAGGGTGATAATAAGATCTAGGATCGATTACTCGGTGGAAAAATACTTATTTCCTGTTGAGCAGTGCAATTTATTCGGAAGTGTAAGAGTTGTTTGCATTCTATTTAGACGCGGTAGTACGAATTCGAATACCGTAAATGACATGCGATAGGAGAACACGTGAACTATGCGCAGGTATAGATGTAAAAAGATAAAACGCGTAAGGCTTAAGATTATCGTAACCATCTTCTTCCGGGATACCCTTGACTCAGATTTTCGTTCTGAAAAGCAAAGCAGAACTGCGAAAAAGGGCTGCAAGACATCATCGTTGGTACAATCCTCGGCAAACTGTTTTAGTCGAAACATCGAAAGGGTTGCTATTTTGAGGTGGCTCGCACTAAATATGGTCAGATAGGCGTTGGCGTTGTACCCGGGCAAGGCACCCCTGCTCAAGCACCAGACGTGTAGTGGGGGAGATCTACCAAAGTTACTTAGATAAGTTCACCTCTATGACTCGGACAGTTGGTTCGTTGTGACCATCTCGCACCATCCTCTTACAAACCAACCGTAGCCATGGTAAGTAGGTGCCGGATACACCGCGACACCATTGTGATTTTCGATTCAAGCGATCAGGACATTACGCGACAAATTTTCTGCGTCGAATATTCGCTAAAAAAGTGGAATGTCGCGAACGAAAAAAACAGAATGTTACGTATCATACGTGTGACTAGTGGTGGAAAGATACTTGACCAGTCGTAAACCGGGGGTAAATTAAAACAAAACAACTAAAAAATCGATCAATTGCGTAAACTGTGACGGGATTGTACGCTAAGTGATAAATTCGGCAGGGTGCATCCGGGATATTACAAATTGTGTTAATAGAGTGTAAACAGTGCTCTTCGTTAGATTTTTGGCTATTAGCCATTCCGTACTTGAATATTACTATTCGATTTATTTTTGATCAGTGTATCCTAATTCTTGACCGCATTTATAGAATTGTTCTATACTTTCGCCCTGTAGTACCTCTCCCAGAACTTCCGGCCAAAGTACGCTTAGGAGTTATAACTATAGAGGCTAATTATATTTTAAACAGAGACACATTTTATAACAGATGTATATACATTCTTTTCTCCAGCTTTATGTGTATTTTCAACGAATTATATATTACTAAAACTTTATTAATACTTTTACAATATGTTATTTGTTTTGGATTTTTAAAAAGATCTATTTCTTGTAAATCGTTCGATTAAACATCATTTCTTTAGTAAATAAATACTGCCATTGTTTCTGTAGCTTTAAATTTAATTTAATATATAGTTACTTGGCAACGTTAAGTAACACATATAAGTGTCAGATATATTAAAAAATTTGGAAAATTACGTAACTGTAGTAACTTGAGAGGCCGTACCGAATAAACGGTCTATATTTGTCTTGGCTTCTTTTCAGTCATACCATGGGCGATAGAAAGATCCTATTTTTAGTCCCCATGAGTAACGCCTTCCGAATTTTCGTCGACTATTAATATTTAAACTAACCTCAGCTAAAAATTAGGTATCGCTGATATGTCAGAGTTGTATTGTTTGAATATCTCGATTACGGGCATTTTAAGCGTGCTACTAATTAATTATCGCACGGGCATTTTAATTAAATAATTATTTCAATTATGGACAAAATTATCGTGTCACGGTAAAATTATTTTTAACAAATTATTCGTTCATTACCGTAGGAATTTTTCATCTACACATAAAAAATAATTCGAATTTCTATTTTTGTAATGAAAGTGTACCTCAATTTTTTTAAGACAGTTACAAACTGAAACGTGACATTTTTGTGAGGAAATATAAAAATACATATACCTAAACTCAGTGTTCTATTAATGCCAACCCGATACACGGATGCATCATTTTCTACAAAATCATCCTCGAATTCCGAGTACATAGGAAGACATTATGAAACCGAATACGTCGGATGTTCTTGGAATTTTGACAAGTATTATGTTATACAATCGATATAACGTAATATTGTTGATACTAAACGGAAGTACTATACAAGTACAGTCTCATGCATATTAATAGAGGAAATTGTTCAATAAAGTGTAAATTGATATCGTTTTGGAGATCAATTATTGAAACTCATTTAAAGAAATAAACTTGAATATTGTCAATTGTGTACATGAATATGTTGTACCATAATGCCCCACAGATTCTCTATAAACCCCATCGATTCTATGTAAAACGTATTATGTAATACGTACTGCGCACATAATGTGTTGATATTTTCCCAAATTGAATAAGAATTAAAATAGCAATTTTAGAACCCTAACCGAGATCGACATAGGCTAGAACTTATACGAGGTGTTCGACCACCCAGGGGAAAAATTTGAATGGAAAATTCTAGAGGCTAAAATAAGACGAAAATCAAAAATATCAATTTGTTGACTGAGGCTTCGTTAAAAAGTTATTAAAAAATTAAATTAAAAAATTTCAAATTATTCACGGAAAAATTATTTTCGGTTACGGGGGTCAATTACAATTATTTTTGGTGAATAGACACACCCCAGAAATCCTACGCACTTTCGAGAAAAAAATTCAGGAAGGTGGACAAATTTTTCGACAAACTTAAAAAATTTCAAATCGTTCTAGAAAAATTATTTTTGGTTGCGGGGGTCAATTACAATCATTTTTATAATATACTGTGTGGTCAGAAATATTTCTATAACCTTTTAACGTAGCCTCAATCAACAAATTGGTATCCTTGATTTTCATCTTATTTTGGCCTCTAGAATCTCCCATTAAAATTTTTCAGTAACTTGATCAGCTTAATTTATTTTGTTACTAGAAGTCTATTTAAAATGTCTTTTACCTAGTGCAACATGATTTAGAAAAAGCTTTAAGATAAGTATACTAAATTTTTCGCTAATTATTCTTTTTTCAACGTTTTCAAGGTAACCTCCAAAAATCTATATTTTTTTACATTTATCCTGCGATGGATATTAAAACAAATTTGGTAAACTAAATTTATTGCTAATTATTCTTTTTTCAACGTTTTCAAGGTAATCTCCAATTTTTTTTATATAAAAATCTATATTTTTTTTACATTTATCCTGTAGTGAATATTAAAACAAAATTCGACAAATTCGATAACAAATATCGGTCTTTTCATCTAAACCTAGAAGAATATTAAGGAGGATATTTCTTCCCTTAATCCAAATGTAATTATTCTGTCGAACATGTAACGGTAAGGATGACGTTTATCAGGAAATTGTATAGCCAATACTGAATTAAACCAGCAATCTCTATAAATCAGAAACATATTTATATATACATACCATCATTTCGTTGGTACTATAGGCCATCGTATAATCGTTCAGATCCCCGGAAAAGTTGGCAAAATTTCAAATTTAGTCTTTTTTATCGGGAACCGATGAATTCGAAAATGTTTTGCGTTTTTATATACAACTGGAAGCAAAAATTCACACTTTTTAATTATTTTGTCCCTGTACATTAAAAATATGTAGAGAATAAAGATATCATGTGCTATTTAATTATAAGGGGGGAAAAAAAGAAATTTACAGTAAAAGTAATTGAATTAATCGTCTTCGTCACTGACTTCATCAGTACTGGTGGATGTGTCCGTAATTAGTTAATTTTCGACTATTCCTTCTTCGGTTGATTCCATATTTTGCACATTTCGAAAAGAGAAATCCTGAAAGGTCTCCTTAGCAATTTGCGTAACGATGTTACAATTGGATTAGAATTTAATAAAAATCTGAGAAATATATTCTTGTTTGTCATTTCTCTAGATACTTTCTTAACATGGTGTTCGTAAAAAAATTGTAGCTCTATTTCTGGTTTCTTCTAACATTTATCCTATTGGTAATATATTAAAGAAACAACTTATGCACCATGTATTAAAACTGTATGAATTGAACATGGCATATAGTACCAAGGACATGTGTTAATAAAATGTTTCGTAGTATCTAAGATAAAATTTTCAAAGGTTTGCACATTAAAATTGTAAGCATACGAAATTGATTATGGAATGGTAGCCAAGCGCTTAATGAAATCTTTAACAGTATTCGTAGAGTTCGATGAAATAAGGATTTCGTTTCTTAAATAAACATAAACACAATTGATGCAATGCAGTCAATTAGAAATTACTTTGTTATTTTTTCATCCGCAAGGTACTACAAAAATTTCTTTTTTAGCCCTTTTCTATACACTTTCAGACATTATTTCTCACAAAAATAACGTTGACACTCGATGATACAAATTTCGTAGACCAAGAAATACTTTTCGATCTATTATTAAATGTTTACAAGGTTGCACTTCAAATTAATTATTGCGAGGCTTTTAAAAAAATATATTTAACTTAGTTGTACCAGAATCTGAAAAGTTATGAAGCTGCTATTTAGGGGCTCAGAAATCACAACATACAGGGTGTTTGGCCACCCCTGGGGAAAATTTTAATAAGACGAACATCAAGAATATCAATTTCTCGATTGAGACTTCATTAAAAAGTTATTAAAAAATTAAATTAAAAAATTTCAAATCATTCTGAAAAAATTATTTTTGGTTGCGGGGGTCAATTACAATCATTTTTGGTGAATACACATACCCCTGAAATCCTATCCACTATCGAGAAAAAAATTCAGTACGGGCGGATCTTTAAACGTTAATAACTTTTTAACGAAGTCTCCATCAACAAATTAGTATTCTTCATTTTCGTCTTATTTTGGCCTCTAGAACCTCCCATTAAAATTTTTCCACATACTGAAAAAATTAATTTTTCTTGCTTTTTGAGTCACTCTTGCGAGAATCGTAAGAGAGACTAATACAGTAGTTCCTCGTTAATATTCGTACGTTTTTCCGTCGGTAATATTCGCAGAGACATTTCCACCAATTCCTGGAACTGCCTTCGCCGAAAGAACCAGAGTACGACCAGTAATATAAACCGCTTTTTTTTTTAACTCATTTACACTCATTTTCAATGATGATGCGGTTAATGCGATCCGAGATAACAGCTGACGATTCTCGGGACAGTCCCTCTCTCGATATTCTTCACGTTGCAGTTCGAAGCTTCCGATATCATTAGAATTACATTGTTTATATTGTACATGAAGATAAGTGCTATCAGTATACGAGAGATCTTCAATCTAGGAAAAAGAGGATAGACATCAATAATAATTAATACTAATCTATGTACAATTTCCGGAATGTACAAGTAGATAGTAATCAATATTCCTTTTTGATAACATTGTTAAATGACGTGCGAAAGTCTTATAACTAACAATTCCTTTTAACGTTTTTTTAGATTTAAATAGAAAAAATGTATTTATTATGCTGCTTGCCGAATTCGTCATAATATCCACTGAATGATAAACAACTTATGAAAAAAACTAAAGATTACCTTGAAAACTTCCGAAAAAAACAATTGGTAAAAAATGTAGTATACTCATCTAAAGCTCTTCTTAAACCATGTTATACTAGATACAAACATTTTTAACGTACTACTAGTAATAGAATAAATTAAGTTGATCATGATATGTGGTTCATCTTGTGTAACAGTTTGAAAAAGTTATTTCTGGAATCGTATTCTTTGTTGTACTGTAAAAGTATAGATTTTCAAACTTCGATTTTGAGAATTGCTGGTAGGACTGGTAGCTGATTTCGTGTTAATGCCCCTCTCCCTCGCTCAGATTCCTTAAATTGTAGTGGAGAACGAAGACGGTTGTAACACTTTGAATTTAGAATAGTATTAGATAAAAACTATTGCATTCGCAATGAATTAAATAAATTCTTCTATGAATATATTACCTGTTTATCTGAGATTATTGAGTTACAGCTATTTTGTTATGTGTCAAAGGATATCTGAGTTATTAAGTAAAAATGGCAAGCGGAGAAAATTTTACAACCTTCCCAGAGTCAATTCATCTTCGAGTCAGTTGTAACACAACATAAATTTAATTATAGAAAATTAAAATATTTATTTAATTAATTTTTACTTAAAAAGGACAAAATTAATGTTTTGGTATGTAGAAAATTGAAAAAATTAGACATAATGCTGCTGCTTTTATTACATACATATTTTATAATAGTATTTTACTGGGATATTAGTATCTTCTTTTTTAATATTCAGCTTTTCTTTTACATATTTTAAAAGGGATACATAACATAAATCATATTTTTTTATAGTGGTTCGAATAGATAATTGATTTTTTTTTATATTATCATATACATCTTTGTACTTTAACACGTTCACTGTCCGGTTTCTCAGCGGCGTATCCAATAGCACGACGATATGACCCATATACGGGTCATGGGCAGTGAACGTGTTAATATAAACTTAGGAAGGAATATACCTATTACTATTTGTACTGTTTGACTTGTTATGATTGATCATTGGACGATGGTTTAGCGTCAAAGAAACAAAAGAATATCGGAGACATTTAAAAATCTCGTAAAGATTGCATGAGGTAGGGTCAGTTGAAACATTATAATCGAACTCGACTGCCGATCATACAATTGTCTCCAATCATACTTATGAACTTTAATTATAAATTTTCATTAATTTTCATTAATAGTCACGCTTATGGATGCTATGTAACGATCAGTATTTCTTTATGAAATACCAAATCAAAGATTTCAAACACGAAAGGATTATTAAAGAAGAAAAATTAACTTTTGAATACCGAACATTTTTTTCCTTCATTATACAGTTGTCTAGTAGCATCCAAATGTCGTTTTATATTATACAGGGTGTTCAGCCACCCCCGAGGAAAATTTTAATAGGAGATTCTAAAGGCCAGAATAAGACAAAAATCAAGAATACTAATTTGTTGATGGAGGCTTCGTTAAAAAGTTATTAACGTTTAAAGTTACGCCTGTAGATAGGCAACCTGCATATAGCTGTGTGCAGGCTATAGTGGTTCTCACTCAGCATGAGAAACTCTACTTAGTGACGTATCAACAGGGTCAGTTTTCTGAGTGAGAACCACTATCACACGTACGCAGCTGTTAGCAGATTGCCGTTCTACAGGCGGAACTTTAAATGTTAATAACTTTTTAACGAAGCCTCGATCAACAAATTGGTATTCTTCATTTTCGTCTTATTTTGGCCTCTAGAATCTCCCATTAAAATTTTTCCCAGGGGTGGCCGAACACCCTGTATACCTGAAACTTGTGTTAATATTTCTAATATATTCAGAGATATTTACAGTGTTGCAATCGTCATAAATCTCCCCTATTATTTTTATTTTACATTACACGTAGAATTTATTTATTTGTAATTGATCTTAGGCGGATAAAGAGAAGAAGAAAAAGACTAAAAAGAAGGAGGAGGCAGCGCCTGCTCCTGCGCCTGAACCTGAACCAGCACCCCCCGCGGAAGAGAAGCCGCCGACTCCTACTGGTACACCTAAGGAATCTGGTTCGACTAGAGCAAGCAGTCGGGGAAGCCGCAAAGCCAAACGCACTGGATCCAGTGTGTTTTCTATGTTTACTCAGAAACAAGTTGCCGAATTTAAAGAGGTATGCTAAAAATAAAACTTTAATCACGTAAAATAATTATTTTGAAAATTCAATTCGTATTCGTACACTATGCATTAATGTCAATGCATTAATCTTAATGTTTCATATAAATGAAAGAAAACATGTTTGTTAATACTTTTCATTTATTTTTATCAAATATTATTTATTATATCAGGCTACTCGTATTTACAAAGTAGTTTTGTGTTTTTCTTAAAAAAAAAAAAAAACCACAGGACATACAAAAGAATGTAACTAGTCGTAAAAACTACTCACTTGTGTTCATACAGTCAATTTATAAAGGATAACTCGATAACATATATTTTAGGGATTTGTTTTCTTTACAGTGATGACTCTATACTTAATGAATAAGTTACAAATAAATTTTAAAATTATTATATAATAGAAAAATGTTGCAGAAACAGAATATTTACAATCTTCAAAATTCACAATCCTAGTGTAGACATTAGAGCCAGTGTTTTTTTTTTACCCTAAGAAATAACGATTAATACATACATTTTGTTTGTAGCATCAGTTTTTGCAGTGGACATATATGTATTTATGGGCACAAGAGTTATCATATTAGACAACGGTAATAAACAACTTGTAAGAGTCTCGTCAAAAAATTTGTACATTTAAATATGTTCAAGACAGTATTAATGTGAGTATTTTATTATGGCAAAATAGTAGGAAATCATGTTGCCAAATTTCTTTGAAACTTGGGGTATCTAGAGTTGTTTATTTCCAAACTATGAAGTATACTGAATGTTTTGAGTTAACAAACAATATTTTTTGAAAAATTAAACAACGAAAAATACATGTCAAAACTGATAGAAAATTTCATAGGATGTCAAAATAGATGGTAGGAATAGGATGTTAAAATTGTGTTGGTTGTACATTCGGAAATATTGCCAGATTTAGATAAAAACATATAAATGATCAAACAAAGTGTCGAAAAATATATTAAGGATCAAAAATCGAAAAATTTAGAAAAATTGTACACACTTACTGAAAATAACTGAAAGCCCATACCAATAGAACAATGCATTAATACAATGTATGCAATGAAAATGTAGTTAAGATTTGAAGAAAAGGTTTATTCATTGCATATTTGCATATTATAAATAAAAAATAAATTTCAAATGTAAAATCTGAAAAATATTCAAATGTCTTTAAGTATGTGTCCATTTAAAATACTATATCAAAGATTAAAAATTTCAACATCTTTTTAGTATTGGAATGTAAACAAAAATTTTTGACTAATATTTTGATGGCTTAGTGTATTGTACTTGTATATCCATTTTTCATTGAATTCGAGTTTTTATATGTAATAAACAGCTCTTAATAGTCTGTTTATGTTGAATACATGTCATAATATTTACTATTTTATGAATATTCTAAAAATAATATTTTTATTTATTGTATTTCCTTACAGCTATTAGTTTTAGTGCATATACATATATTGTATGTCTATACATAACGTATGCGACGATCGTACACAATATTTTAATTTTTTCAATATAATATGTCCACTAATGTGTATATTTTACATGGTTTGTATATTTTATATTTATTGTATACAACAATAACATTATAATGATACATCTGGTGACTGAAGTTAAGTTTAATAATAAAAATGAATTTGATTGGAAATTGTGAGATATTCTTTGTAGAAGAAAACGTTTCAATAGTTCTTAATATTTTTGATACTAGTGAAATAACAATTAACAATAACTATCTCAGTAATAGTAATGTTATACTTCATTCTAATAATAATGGTTTTGATCAAAATGAGAATCACTGTGAAATTATTAATAACCCTGGTAATAATACAGATCATCTGCTTCATACTGATAATAACAGAAGAGGAAAGAAACAAAGAAAAACCCTTTTGAATGTGAGAGAAAAAGATTTAATTATAATTCTAGCACTAAAACAAAATCAAGATCTTATTATCTTTTAAATGATTGTAATGAAAAGGAAAAAGTATGTTTTAAAACCTTTTGTACAACATTAAGCAATTAGCTTCAAAATTATTAATTCAGCTTTAAGTAATATTGGTATTAATATAAGGCTTTCATGACCTGGGTCTATACTTGAGGTCAAGGCTTCCGGATGGTTGCAATCTGCATCTTCAGGGCTGGAGGCTCCGATTTGAGGTCTCCTGTTCTTAGGAAGTCCTTATGTAGTGATAATATAACGGATTTTTATAGTTCAGTTGATCTATTTAAAATCTGCAAACATTGCAGTCTGCATCTTCAGGACTGGAGGCCTGAAATAGATCAGCTCATATATAAAACTCCGCTATATTATCACTATATAAAGACTTCCTAAGAACAGGAGACCTCAAATCGGAGTCTTCAGCTGAAGACAGACGCGGCAACCATCCGGAAGCCTTGACCTTGAGTATTGGTATTAATGGTGCATATACATATAGATATTGATAAGTGTTACATTAGCTAGAGTTACAAAAAATACAATTTCAAAAGAAGAAAAATAAAAAGCATTAGTTCATATACTTAGTTTTCCTGTAATAGAGTCACATTATTGTAGGCATGATAATAAGAGACACTTACTTAGTTTCTAATCTCAATATGTCTAAAATGCCCTGTTTCTGAATTTGTATATAGAATAATTCTTAACAACCATGAACCACCTCTGACATTCTATGTTCCTCAAAGGGATCAATGCATAATTTGCAATCAATATCACAATAGGACTGATAAACATCCATTAATAGTAGAATATATGATATGAGAATAGAAAATGTAGGCTGAAGATAAGAATAAATCAAAAGAAAATATGGGAAATAATTTGAGAAGTATAACATTTGACTTATGAGCTGTATTAACAGTACATACTTTTAGTTGATAACAGCCAAATATATTACTAGCGTAAGTTAAGTATTTATAATTTTACAATATTCGAGACACATCATTTTGAGAAGATCATTGTTTAATTTGGGATGAAACTGAAGGAGTTCTATCAGAAATTGGATCATGTCTTTATAAATACTTTTAAAACTTGCTACCATCTGTAAAAAATCAATGTAATGTAATTTCAATTCCCATTGATAAAGGAAATGAAGATAATTTAAATGAATAATGTTATTCAGCTTTTTATAATTAAAAAATTTTTTTCTTTTTCTTTATATTCATTATTAATCACTACGGATATTAAAACTTATTATCTTATTATTATTGCTAAAGGGTATAGCCGAATAAGGGGGTCAAATGTGTCCTTGAATCAAATTTGACATACGATGGATTCATCGATAGAGTGTACATTTTAGGTGAAAATATTTTTAAATATTTTAAATATAGTTATTTTTAAATATTTTAAATATATTTTCATTGTTGTATAGTTGAAAATTGAAAAAATATATAATTAATAAAATAAAAAAAAGATGTGCTTTAAACGGGGCGCGAACCAGCGTCAAAAAGTTTACAACGACTACACAAGCATCTTACTCACTGCAACGTTGCAAGCTCTCAGAAGTATTGTTGATATTTCTAAATATAACGCGCATAGCACTTTTTATTTCGTGACTTATTTTTGTTTTTCTATTCTATACACCGTTCTATTCAACATAAAATTGTTTAAAACCATAGAATATAGTTATCCATTAAAGGGAATAAAAAAATTCAAAGTATAAATTGTTTTTTCACGCGAAAAACACCGAAAAAATCGGTTTTTGATTTTTGCTACTACGGCGCACCCTGCCAAAAAATCTGAAAAAATTCAGGGACATAACCAATGACAATATGCATTTACAGTAATTATATAAATCTAGTATCTCGAATGCTTCAAAACGAAATCGGTATTTTTCTGCGGTTTTTTGCGTTTTTATTTTTCACACCTAGAATTTGGAATCGAAAAATCGGAAAAAATTCTCAAACACGTATCTCAATAATCACAATGCACCATATTTTTTTCATAATTTTCGTACTCGATTAAATAGGGGAAATGGGCACAAATTCGCTAATCCGAATTTTCCCAATAACTACCCTTCCGAACAAGATAGAGGGTTGCACAGAATGTTTTTTTCTGATGCTCTATCGATGGATCCATCGTATGTCAAATTTGGTTCAAGGGCACATTTGACCACCTTATTCGGCTATACCCTTTAAATACTAAAGTTTATTATTATTTTTATTTAAATGCCAAGTTATTACTAATTTTACTTTTGTTATTGTATATGTTCAAATTCAAAATAATAATAAAATATATTGTTTAGGATGTGCCAAAGTTTATTATTTTATTTCATTATTACGAAGTTTCAACAGCAAAGTATTAAGTCTCCTTATCGTGAAGTAGACATGCAATATAACAATAAACATGATTTATGTACGTTTACTATATGCCCATCTTGAGTAACAGCATTTACATCATGTGAGATGAGTTTATTCAATTTTAAAATACTATTGAATCCTTGAACCAGATTTTCTCGGATCACAAAAACTGAATATATGTATAAGTACCAGTTTGTTAGTAAGGTGCACAGACGAACCTGATGAGAGGTCGGGGAGTCGCAGGGAATATTAGTTGACCTCGTAACTTTGAATTAAAAAATGTACTATAATTCGAGCGATAAAGTTATATTACTATAGGGATCGTTTAATTACAATCGCTTAATATAATAATGGGTTTAAGAAATTAAATAACTCCATGTAATAATAAATATTATGTACATGTTCTTAAAGTTTAGTACAAATGTTTAGTGTAAAAGGTGTCGCGGATAATGGAAATTGAAATGAAATAGATTTACCTAAATGCTTCCACGGTGTTGATACATTGACGATGCGGGGGCGTTAAGAACCATTAGCAAAAATGACATAATAGAATTTGTACCGAACTCGCGGATTCTATATGGTTAACTATGATACGAAAGGGAACTTCAGCCCGATCTTAGGCGATGCAACTGACTATCAGAAACGTGAACAGCAAAACGAATGACGCGGTGCTATTCTAAACGCAACTGTATGGGGTATGTCGATTACCAAATATGGTAATCTTCTGCATCCCATGAGAACTGATTTTACATTTCAAAGGGTAGACAAGAGTAGCAGGGCATTTTTCTAATGCACGTAAGTTTAGAGAAAGAAAATAGGGGAACGAAGCGTTCGGTGTACGTAATAGACTATACCCGATTCAATGAGAATTGGCAACTGGCAGCCACTGGCAGGAAATATAAACAGCTGTACCAGAGCCGAAACGTAATGGCCAGATCTCTAAATAACAAGAAAGAAGCTAATTTTTTGAACAAAAAGTACTCATCTTCAATATTAATATATTATTAATTAAATATTATTACATAATAATGTAAATAAGGAGACAAACGAAAATACAAATTGAGGTATGGAAAACTATTTCAACATTTAATTTATCTATTTATTACTATCAACAACTTATGTTGATTCTGTGTTTGAACTGTCAGAATTTAAATTAATTATAAATGATTCAGTTAATGACAATATAATGGTTCAATTGCTAAAATTTGTGTTCAATAATTTAAACAACATGTTTAACGTACACCCGCAAATTTGAACATTGTATTATTTGTTGCAATATAATTTGTAACTTGCGATTAAATCATCTCGATTGAATTTAATGCATCGCGGGAGGGCCCTTCTGAAGGGTCGCCAAAAAGCGTCCCTGAGCAGTGACGTACAGCAGCCACTTATGTGCGGCCGCAGCATCGATCATGTGACACCACTCTGTTTATATTTTCTGCCAGTTTTCGTTGAACCGGGTATAAACAATGGCTCTCATACAAGGTGGGTGGAAAATCGTAGTATAATCAACCAAGAAGTGATTGTACGCATAAAAATAGGGAAGAAATGTGGTATGCAATATTTTTTCGGGAAACTCGAATTTGAAGTTTGTTCCATTACGCAATGCGGTTTATTTATCGTGTACAGGTGACCCTCCTATAACACAGTAGATAGGTTCCTAGAAAATGCCGTATTGTGTGAAACCGTGTTATATGAGACCCAAAGCCAGTACAAAAAGGGAGGTTACATTCCGAAACTTATTAAAAACAAACATTTTTTTTTAATTCTACATAAACAACTTAATGTTTATGAAAAATGAAAATGTATGTATAGTACAAAATACCACTATAGTTCATTATTCCTTCGCGTCATTGTTTTAATTTAATTTAGTTTTTAAATATGTTAAGCAAAAATCATGTTATCCAGTGCTGTTGTAGAGGTACAGTGTTGTACAAAGGTTTTCGCAATTTTCTTATTATGTTAGAACGAAACCATGTTATAAGATGCTATGTTGTAGAAGGGTTCTCGCAATTTATGAATTGTGTTTCTGTGTCTCTGTCCATGCTAGTATTTATATTAACAATGATGAGATACTGTAGGAAGAACCCAGATATGTAGTTCGATGTCTGGCAGAAGACATAATTTATCCAATATTGTAAACAGATGTTTATTATGGTTGAATTTATTTTTCAGGCATTCCAACTTATGGATGCGGACAAAGATGGTATAATTGGAAAGAACGATCTTCGTGCGACTTTCGATTCCGTTGGTCGTCTTGTCACTGATAAGGAAATTGATGATATGCTGAATGAAGCACCGGCGCCCATCAACTTTACTCAATTATTAAATCTGTTCGCAACTCGCATGTCGGGTTCAGGTACTTATTAAGTTACTGAAGTAGTTTATTATTAGATAACATAGTTTTGCAAAATCTTTCTAAAAAGAGACATTTATCAATATTATATTTGCTATATAAACGAATATGATACATAAATTTAAATTTCTTGAATCTAACTTCCAATTAGTCTTTTTACGGTCCATTTAAACATGTGAAATTCACTAGATATTTTAATTTATTTTAATGATAATTTGAAGAAAGCTATTTAAATAATTTTAAATAATATCGCATAATATTTCATAGTAATCATAATTTCTATTCAATGTTTTAGGTACGGATGACGATGAAACTGTAATTGCTGCCTTTAGCACCTTCGATGTAGATGGTAAAATTGATGGTGAAAGGTGAGCAACAAATGCTACTACTATTGTAATAATACATTTATTAACCCTTTGCATTCGATAGTTTTTTTGTTATAAAGAACTAGCAACTCGAAGCCATTTCAATAAAATTAATGAAATTAATTTATTTTTAAAATAAATGTTTGTTTTAAAATTGGTGTAAGTTTGCTAGTAAACAAATAACTTGAACAAATCCTCTGGTTCCGTCTCGTTTGAAGTTGTAGTTGTACTTTTATAAGTTTTTTGTCGGCTGCAAACGTTATTCTTACTGGTATTTTCTCAGAATTTGTAACATCTAACAATTTTGAAATCTTTCTGTCTTTTCAAATCAATTGCTTTGTCACTATATCGTCTATATCGCTGTTATCAGTTTCAATACGTTCAAATATTTTATACATATGTCTCTATTATGAATTTGGTCTCCAAACAACGTAATTTCAAACTTATTTTTATTGTTACTAATTTTATCGTAATAATTAAAATAATAAACACGATGACTTTAATGTAAGGAGCAACTAAAATGAATATAGACGGTTATTGTTGTCTCTCGTTTTCCATTCGAGTTGCTGTATCGAACCAAGTGACATTCGATAGTCGCCATCCGAACGCAAAAAGTTAATATATTGTTTCATATGTTCATAGTTTTAAGAGTTTTAAAATGCAGACATTTTGTAGTTCACATGATATCATACTAATATGGAAATTACTATTTTTTTATAGATTAAGGCACGCTTTAATGACGTATGGAGACAAATTTACTTCAAAAGAAGTCGACGATGCGTACGACAATATGTATATTGATGACAAAGGTTTCATCGACACGCCAAGCCTTATCGCGATGCTAACTGGTACGGGTGACGAAGATGAGGAATAACTTTAAGCGATGTTCAATATGAAAAAGCTTCTGTTAAACCTCTGTTCATTGAAAACAAAGTCTCGTGTTAGTGTCAGGCTCGTCTGGTTTGCTTCCAAAGGACGAAAAACGGAGATAAGGCAACCATAATCATTCCCCTTTCTTTGTTCTTCACTGGTAAAAAGTCTTTTTTCTGAGGGAACTGTTTTCAATAATAAAAGTCCGTTAATGATCGCAGAGAAATCGCAAAATATTCTCTTGGACGTAAAAACAGCGCATCTGACGATAAACGAGGCTTCGAATCTCTATATTATTGTTCATATAATAAAAGTACTTTAAAACTTCGCAATAACAGTTTCAATATTGACCTGCCATGAATAAGACCATCGATGAAGTTGACAGTTTTCTGTCCTTGTTATTTTCGAACTCGTATATCAAATTCAACATAAATTAAACCTGAATTTTTAAGTTTAAAGTATTATGCGTGGAATAATACATAATGATATTTTGTTACGTAACTGTATTAATTGACTTTTCTTACTTTTAAACTAGAAAATTCGTTACGACACGATAATTATACTTTTTTTTATTAGTGTTTCAATTTGTCTTTTTTCTTTCTTGTCAAATTGCTTAATGAAAGGTGTTGCTCTGTGGCACGTTGTTTATTTCGATTCTGGTCATGAATTCTATTAACTACACAAAACAATGTATTTTACATAACAAGACTTTTCTTACGGATGGTTATAATTGTCGATAATTATTATTGGATTTAAACTTCGGTTGAGTTGCTCAAATAATTTAGACTCTAATCGAATAGAAAAGATACAAGAGAAAATGTCTAAGCATGCAATAAAATTGAGAGTCAAGATTGGATTGTTCAAGTATCCTTCCTCATGATACGGAAAACGTTGAGAGGTAGTAATCTACGTCTTTACTCCTTAGTGTGGAACGGTCAGATAATAAATTAACAAGCTTGTGATCTCTAGATTATAGTCGCACATACATATAGACACAATAGAGCCTTGGAACTAGTGATTGAATCAGTATTACAAATACCGATAATTTTTAGGTAGTTATTATATTGCCTTTAAAGAAACCGAATATTGCAAATATTAGTATGAAAAGTCTTCAAAACAACGTAATATTGATACAGACATACATATGTATATATTTCGATATAATACCGGTAAATATTTTATGGAAAAAGATAAAATCACGAAGTATTTTGGTTTTAGAAATTTAAATGTAGAAATAAAGAGATAAATATTTTTAGGATTTATTGTCTTTCTTTCTCACGATACAAGTATACGAAATATTTCAATAAAAGAAATATATGGTAAGCACAAATGAACACGGTAAATAAATTGAAGAAGAACGTCACTGTAAGGGTAACTTAAATAAAGTACGTAAATAAATTACTCTGAAATCGCTCTGGTATTACTCTTCGTTGTAAAATACTAGCTAACGAACTAAAGTTGTCGAAACTGAAGTCGCATCAAATGACGTCCTCATCGTTTATTAATATCCTAACAATAGTAGTGAATAAATACATAGATACATAAATTTACGATTCACGATTGTGGCTGCGTGTCCGGTGTGATGTTCGTTAGGAAAATCGTAATTTAGTTTGTTACCAAGTCAATTATATTTTTATTTTAACTTCTGATCGATTCAATCTTACGCTTTATATTCAAAGTAATCCATAGTAATTATATTCATAATAGTATTTCGGTACTCTTATCGGTATAGATGGCACATATAAAAAAAATACCCATATACAATAATATGAGTATGTGTAAGCTACGTCTCCACTGCGTCGTCTCGTCAGCACGGCTCGACATTTGCCATTCGGCACAGCGCGCGCAGCGTTTCAGCACAAGTCGGCACGGCTGTTGTGCACGGCTACGTAGCAAAGCCATTTTTTTCTCATTCCATCAATAGCGAAACGCAAAATATCTTTCGTAAACGGAGCTGATTTTTCTCATTATAAAAATCTTATTATTCAATTAAAAATTAAGATCACCTTAATTTTTTTGTTTTCATAAATCAATGCATCATTGTATCCTCTTAAAAAAAGTATTAGGGGTTTTAGGTCGAAAATTGAATAGTTTAGGAGTTATTAGTTTTGTCCCGAACTCCCATGTACAGAGTGTTTCGCCACCCCTGGGGAAAATTTTAATGGGAGATTCTAGAGGCCAATATAAGACGGAAATCAAGAATACTAATTTGTTGATGGAGGCTTGGTTGAAAAGTAATTAACTTTTTTCGAATTTTTTTCTAGAAAGTGGGTAGGATTTCGGGGGTAGGCCTATTCACCAAAAATGATTGTAATTGACTCCCGCAACCGAAAATAATTTTTCCAGAACGATTTGAAATTTTTCAATTTCGCCGAAAAAAGGCAACCCTTGTCGATTTTTCTTAAAAATTCGTTCTTGATTTTTAATAATTTTATTTGATGCCCTACAGAAAAGTTGTCTAATACATTTTTGTAAACACCCATGGTTTTTGTTGCAGAAAAAAATTTCTATGAGATACCTTCACTATTGTAGGAGTTATGGTTGTTTGAAAATTGGACCAGTTTTAGGGGGTTTTTCTCACTTTACGATGTCAAGAAACAACTTTTTCAATATTGTTAGAATTTCTACATATTCTCTACTAAAATACGCGTTGTTTGCATTTTGAAAAATTAAAATCCTCCAATCTGTTCAGGAGTTATGACATTTTAAAGATTCGCATGAAATTTCAGGGAAGCATTTGATTTTCGGTAAAGAATTTTTTTCTCGAAAGTATGTAGGATTTCGGGGTATGTCTATTCGCTAAAAATGCTTGTAATTGACCCTTATAACTAAATATAATTTTTTTAGTATGATTTGAAATTTTTTAATTTCGTCTAAAAATTTTAGTAACTATTTAACTAAGGTCCTTAGACTATGATCAGAGCTTAACTTGGTCAGGTTAGAAATTAATTTGTTTTTAAATTTAAGCAACTGCAATTTCTTGTCGGTTAGATACTGATTAACTTCAATACGAAATATTTTTTGGTCAGATCATCGAAAGGGGCTGGAAAATCGTGGGGATTAGTTCATATGCCTCACCCTGTATAATAATAGATGAATCGCGTCTTCAATAGGATACGAATACTGACTCTGATTCTGATGTAGGCATAATATAATATATAATTGATTTAAAAAATATATTTAATGAAAAAATTCAAATAAGTGTTAATTTTTTATTCTTTAACCCTATATTTTACGTACTCCAGTGATTAATTCGATTTTTTCAAGCATTCTCGATAAACTGAGAAACAGAATTTTCCAATAAAAATTACTCAGTAATCATGTGAAAACAAATGATAAACGAAAATATTGGCAAAAATCTTTTTATTCAATAAAAAATCAAGATCACCTTAATTTTTGTAGTAAAATTGTATTTTTGTATCTCGATGATGGTTTTGGAACGAAATTGACATGAAACTCTGTACGTTGAGGACTCAATAGACCGCTTGACTGATGCACACTGCATTCTTTTGTTTGTTTTCTGGGAATACAGCAGCAACAAAAGTTAACTACCGGTCTTGGCACGATCTCTTTTCATGTTTATCGACATCGTGCCGATCGACTTGTCGGTATGCTATTCGGCTTTTCAAGCCATACTATCCGAGACGATGCAGGTCTGTAAATTGTTTGGCTTTGCTGATAAGTGCTTAGGGTACTAATCGGCCGTGTTAGATGACAAGTGCCGACGGCTACGGGGACGCGGTTTTAGAATATGGAGGGTTCAAATATTTATTTTTTTAGGGGCCGAATCACGAGGGAAAGGACGCTGGAAAAATAATCGGTGCACGTTGAATTTATTTTCGCTTAGTCGCCTTATACGATTAAGCCGTTTATTTCTTAAATTTGACTCTTAAATACAATAAATATAAGAAAAAGGAAAAAAAAACCAGACGTCTGGTCGATGTCTAGAAAAAAAACCCTCACATCGTTCGGCCTGACGGCTCGCGTCGCGCTGTTCTGTAACAAAAGAGAGACGAGACTAGGCGTTAAATACCTGACAACGGTAGTTACGTTATGCGTCTTGTTTTATTCCTCACGCTCCTGGTTGTGCTTGTCAAACAATAATGTTTAACGAATTTTATTCTATGTTCGAATATATCGAATTAACGCGATATTTGAACATACCGACCCCCTTGCACGGTTCGTGAAATAATCAGGAGGAGCGTTAATTCGCGGTCACGTTGCGATCAACCAGTATGGAGCGGGTATTATGCACTTAATTAAAAAATTAAGATACTTACACTCTCGCCGTGAGAAGATCAGCCTGCCGTGCAATGTTCGCAGGGGTGTGAGGACCGCCTCCTTTATCCCGGCCTGGTCCATGGCAGGCGCGTTGGGGCGGCGAGACCGTACTTGACACCAAATATGCAACAAATCGAAGACACGGGGTATGTGAGAATCAACACTGTTTTTATTTTCAAACGGCTGTTCTCACCTTCCTATGTCTGGAACCGCGGAATTCGGGACTTTTTCTATCCCATCTGCGGCTTCGACGGCCGGTGTCGATGTTGACTCATCGACGGGCAGTTTTACACAACCGTGTAATTGATCGTGTGTAAGTGGCTGTGCGTACTTTAACTACACGCACATGCCTATACCTGCTTGGGTATACGTCCTCATTTCTTCCCATTTCCCATTGTTTTGAGGAGAGAAGAGGATTGTGCATCAAAACCAACTCATTTGGTTTAAATGCAGTTGGGTGGTATGCCACTTGTAGCGGTTCTGGAGGTGCGTGAGGTACTCCCGCATTCAATATTTCCAGAGCTGCTCGTGGAATTTCTGAATTTCTCTCAATCGCGTAAGTCGCGAGAAGTTTCCAGTTTCCACTGACTCGACCGGAAGTGTATTTATCGGACTTCCGATCAAAAGTGGCCCGGTGTGAGAGACGCGTAATTCTCGGGCAGTCACTTAAAGCGGCGATCGCCGCGAGTTAAAACTCGTCTGCATTTTCTCGCTTTTAGACGTGAAATCGCCGAGGACACGTTTCGGGTGAAGTTTCACCGATTTCACCGACTTCTTGCATACCACCAAAACGAATCGCGAAATGTAGAGTCTAATTTAATCAATGACCTCGATTCGAGTCATATAACCTAAGGACTCATGTTCTGTGAGAAACTTAGAGTATTCTTCCCCGAGGTCTGGGTTCGTGTCCAGCTTCTTCCGCAGCCTTATGAGAGCGGAGAGCTTCCTTTGGTCTCGAGAAATTGAGAGGCAGCCGGACTTTAAACCGCCCCGTTGCGTTCCGTGCGACGGGTTTTCTGGAAGCGTGGTTCGCATTCCTCCTCCGTCGTGGTATGCACCGAGGTCGAGGGAATTTTTCTGTTTCTCAGAACCTCGGAATCGCGTGATCCAGCGATTCGAGAACGGTGCCATGCAGCGTTCTTATGGTTTTCCGGATTTCGCCCGCTACATTTGTCGGCCCGGGTATTCCCCATCCGAAAGCAGTCTCTTGGGCGATGGGACCCTCATGTGTTATTCGACGGAATCCTGGTCGAATAATTTGGGCATATGGAATCGCGTCGATCAAAGTTTCAATATTTTGATCAATGCGCGCGATTCGCGTCGCACCGGTTTAACCGAACACTCGTAACTCAGGCTGTGGTCGATAGCACTGGCTTCGGTACAGCTGTACTGAACACGGTACCGTGTTACGTCGAGGCGTGTGTCACATCAGTACTCGAAGTCGAGTTTTTGGCCCTTGACCTGAACTTTGCAACCCGACGTCGTGAGGCGTTCGAACGCCACTCTTCACGATTGTCGTACTCGTTATTCGGTAACGATTTCTGATTGTGAGCTGCCCGGGGTAGCTCGAAATGCAGCAGGGAATGATGCCTCCCACTGCACTTTGCACAGACCTCGGAGCTTTGACACTGCGTCACCGTGTGGTTGTTGCCCAAGCATAGTATGCACCACCGGCGGTTCCTTACGTATTTGCTGCGCATTTTAGCAGACAATATCAAGAAGTTATTGCATTTCAATAACTCGTGCGGTCCAGTGCAGAATCCGCACGCTTCCTCCGGAACGAGGGTTGCCTGTATGTCGTCGTTGTAACTCCGCTCTTGTGGCTCTACAGCCGAGTTGGTTTCCATGACGACGTTATGGCTGCGCACGTTTTTTGAGACGGAGCTCGTTTTCCAAGCGGCGCTACGATTACGTGCGCTTTTGATTGGAAGCCCCAGGGCTGCATTTCGCCTTTCTTCGCTCATGGAGAGCAAAGCGCGTGACTGCTTGTCAACGAATTTCCTTACGTCCTCGAACGTAGGATATTCGGGCGAGAGGTCTAACGTTCTCTGCCATTCCAGCTCCATCTTAGGGGTGAAGTGTTGCTTCACCCAATGAGCGAGCAGCCAGTCTCGCTGCTGTTCAGGGGTACCCTTTTTATTGAGAGCAGCGAGAGCCTGGGCGCAATTCACGGTTACTTGTTGCATGCTGGCCAGATCACTCATGTCAATGGGCTCCATATACAAGAGCTTGTCCAGCAGTTTTCCCGTGACGATGCGTGGGAGGCCGAATTCGTTCTTCAGCCTCGACCAAGCTTCAGCGAAGTTGCGGCCCACGACTTCTATGGTGGAAATTATCGCGGCAGCTGGTCCCTCAAGGCAGGCGTTCAGATAGTGCAATCTTTGCACATCCGCCAGCCCAGCATTATTGATTACCCCAGAGGTAAAGAGATCCTCGAAATGTTCCCATTCCCGAGGATCCCCTCCGAATTTGGGTATCCGTTGCTTGGGGAGCTCGATCGGTATACTACACTGAGCGTCCGACACCGCTGGTTTTGTATTCGCGGTGAGTCGGTCTATCTCAGTGCTCACGAGATCCACGTATTCGTGGAAATCGTTTGCGGCAGTTACTATACAGTTCTGCTTGAAGAACTCGTAAACCTGCCTTTGCGCAGGTCGTAGTAGCTTTCGCACGGCCGTATACCGTTCGCAAAGTTCCTTCCATTGTTCTTTTGCAAATTTGAGCTTTTCCTCAAGGAGTCTCACCGAGTAATTCGCTCTTCCCATCTTTTGCAGGTTAATGCCCAACTTGCTTAGTCGGTAGGCTATTTCGCACAAGGTTTCTATGTGCTCATCGACCTCCGACCACGTGGATTCTTTAGCCACGGCCATTGTTGGGATAGTCGAGGATTAATCTGCTCGAAATAACCTCCCACGTGGGTATTCCCAAAAGTGTACCTTTCCCTTTCCAATCAACCTCGTTTTGATCCGGCTCGAAGGACCTTATATTAGAATGTGAGGTTAAAGGTTTATAGAAACCAAATCCCTCACCTAACTACGAGTCCGAATCACGAGGGAAAGGAACGTTAGGGAAATTAAATGGTACCCGAAAAAATTTCTTTCCACCTAGTCACCAGAAACTAGGCTGTTAATTAATTAAAATGAATAATTAACAAATATAAGAAAGAAAGTTTACTATATATTTATTTATTTAGAATACTCCAGGAAAAACCGAGCCTTACACGGCTCGGGAAAAAACCTGGGTTGAACAGATACGTCTGTAAATACCTGACAACGCTCGTCGCGTTGCCTGATTCGCTCTATTCCACACACTCCTGGTTATGCTTGTCGCACTCAGGAGGGGGGAGCTCAGCCGCCGCTACGCAGCTAAGCTAGTGGTCTGTATGAGTGAATGTTTCCTTTAAATCAGGAACTGTTTGATTGCAGTTTGGGAAGACGAGATTCAATCTCGTTTCTTCCACGACTGCAGGGCTTGACTGTCGCGGGAGAGAGCAACAGATGGAGGTTGTAAGGCTCCAAACGTTGCCTAATCCTCGGCTTCTCACCGTCCTCGTAATGTGTACGGGCACGGTGTGGTGTAGTACTTTAACGGCGCACGTAGCGACTGACAATTAAGGTACGTACTCCACGGCGCTATTTGAGCTGCGTTCTACGCCCAGTGGCCGTACACACTGGCGATGAATGAACCGCCGTTCGAGCAGGTTGCCGACAATCAAGCGAGGACCGAGAGTCACTCTCGGTACCTCCCACACGACCGCTGATTGCAGCGGTACGTGGGTAAATTCAGCATAAAGTGTAGCGTAGCCACTGCTGATATAGAAATCTCGTATGAGAACCAACGAGATTTTACAGTCTTTAATCGGGTCGTGAAAACGACTTTATCGATTAATTTGCGAACGAGATCACGGTAGTGTTCACGGTACGAGATTGTCTCACAATCCGTACCAGTACGACTTCCGTTTCTTCGTTCACTGTCTCAACGAAAGTTCGAATAACTCGGAACTATATTCGGAGGTTTATGGAATTTCTGCGGAGCGGGATCGAATGCCCATCCGTTCACTGCAGGTTCCAAATTAAGAGTGACGGACGAGCACGTACAGTCAAAAATGTAGACATGGGAGGGGAAACCTCCGCCATGCGGCGCTGTCGTCGTTTTTATTGTCCGTCTCTGTCCAACATGTTATAATCGTACAATCTCTACACGTGCGTCGAAACGCTTGTTCGAAATCGAACGTTACTTGGTCGATCGCGTGACTTTCTGAAAAAACCCGAGAATCGTAGTTTTTCTAGCTCGTATCGTGTCGTGTAACGGATGCGGAACCGAGAATACTCTGGTCGGTCACGTACATCGAAAACAATACCGTTTAACGAATATTACTCTATGATGGTCTTACAGTTGCTCACAAAATTAAGCGTACACCTAAATTGAAAATGAAAATTGGTGGGGAAATAATTAAAAACGGATATATTCAAAAATAAAAACACAATATATATATGGTATTTCTTTCAACAGGACAACGATCCTAAGCATATGTCGTACGTTGTTAAGGAATGGCTATTATACAACGCACCAAAGTTATTAAATACTCCCCCACAATCACCGGATGTCAATCCAATGGAACATCTGTGGCAGGAATTGAAGTCAAAATTGAGTAATTATAGGTTTACCAGTAAGGCAGATGCGAAAGTAAAAATTACTGAAATATGGAAAAATATTTCCAGTTCAACAACACAAAAATTAGTCGAATCGATGCCTAGACGTTTAAAGGCAATCATAAATGCTCAGGATTACGCAACAAAATATTAAAATTGACTTTATTTGTTGTTTATGTATAATTCCATTCTTTGTACGCTCAATTTTGTGACGATAAAATAGGTGTACTTTTACATTTTTCGTTACATATACATAAACAATTCATCTTATTAAATTTTTCTTTAAAGAATTACCTATTAAAATATCTAAATAAAGTATATATTGTGTCTTTATTTTTTAATATATCCGTTTTTATTTATTTCCCCGCCAATTATCATTGGTAACCTAGATGTACATACAGTGCCGAACAAAAGTATTGGCACAGAGCGTATTTTCAAATAAAATATTATGTAGCTGTGAATAAAGCACAATGTCTTCTTTATATTTGGTATAAAATATAAGTTTGAGGTTTGAACTTTAAGTATCTCGCGAAATAAAGCGATTAAGTAGACCTGCAATAATGAAAAATAGTAACAAATACACAGAGGACAGTTTTCGACGAAACATAAGTATTGGCACACTTGTAAATTTAATATTTCTATGAAACACTTATGTAAATATTTATAATATTGGCATGACTGTTGTATCCAGGGAAGTCCCGAGATTCAATTTGATATTCATTTGTTATTTCTTACTAAGTTTGCCTGTAATAAAGTGAATAACACAACAATGTATCGAAAAACACGAGAAACGACAATTTCAGAGAGAAAAATTATATTAAAATTATCAAAAGAGGGAAATTCATATTCTACAATAGCTAAAATAGTAAATAGAAGTCGTTTCACCGTAACAAATATCATTAAACGGTTTCCTGACGAACAAAATGTAAAAAATCTTCCGCGAAGTGGTCGTCCACAGAAATGATCAGAACGAGATAAACGAAAAATTACCAAGATGTAGAAAAAAATCCTAAAGTTGCCTCTATAGAAATAGCGGCACAAATGAAAAGTGAAAATAAGGTAGATGTACATCCTATAACTATCCGGAGAGTTCTTAAAAGTGCCGGGTACAATTCAAGAGTGGCTAGAAGAAAACCATTGATCAGCAAAATAATCGAAAAAAACAGATTAGAGTTTGCAGAAATGTATGTACACAAAAATTTAGAATTTTGGTATAGAATACTCTTCTCTGACGAAAGTAAATTTAATATTTTTAAATCTGATGGTCAAATAAGAATATGGCGAAAGCGTAATACCGAGTTCGATTCACATAACATAGTCTCAACTGTTAAATACGGGGGTGGTAGTGTATTAGTATGGGGTTGTATGAGTTCCTCCGGACTTGAAGAACTAGTTTTTATAGACGGTATTATGGATAAATTTGTATATTTAAATATTTTGAAACAAAACTTAAAAAAAAAGTGTGGAAAAATTAAAACTTGAGGAAAACTACTATTTCCAACAAGATTATGATCCCAAGCATAATACTGGTTATATTGTCCGCCAATGGATCGTTTTTAATACACCCCATACATTGCCAACCCCTCCTCAATCGCGGGATTTAAATCCGATTGAACACATATGGAATGAGTTAGAAAAGATCCGAAAACACCTTATTCAGACAAAGGGCAATTAAAAGATGCACTTATGAAGGCATGGAACGATATAGGTTTAGAAGTAACACAAAATTTAGTACATTCGATGCCTAATCGGTTACAAAGTGTAATAAGACAAAAAGGATTACAAACAAAATATTAAATTGTATATTGTATTATAAAATAGTAAGTGTGCCAATACTTTTGTTTCGTCGAAAACTGCCCTGTATGTGTTTGTTATTATTTTTTATTATTACAGGTCTACTTAATCGCTTTGTTTCGCGAGATACTTAAAGTTCAAACCTCAAACTTACATTTTATACCAAAAATAAGGAAGATATTATGCTTTGTTCACAATTACATAACATTTTATTTGAAAATACGCTCTGTGCCAATACTTTTGTTCGGCACTGTATGTTTAATTTTGCGATTAACTGTATATCGATATTAAAACTAATTTAGTGAATAACGATTACTTCGCAATAACCTGGAAACAAATATCGGTATGATTCTGACATAATATATCGGTATAGTCTTCAAGTAAAATTTGCATCTCCACCATTCGATTCCCCCCCCAGAAGATCGGCCGTCAAGCGATACACCGAGTAGTGTAATCTGATCCACAATCAAATTTTGTATTGTAATAATACGACGTCTATAATAGCCATCGAACGTTCGCGAAATCGGTTGTCATGTCAAAAGTTAGAGTCGCAATCGATCAATAATCGGACTGGCTGCAAATCGAAACTTCTAGAAGCATTTTCGTTATGGAAAATAAGAATCGCGGCCGATGAATATGTTTGTCCTTTGATAATCGAAGTTTCTAGAAGCTTTCCTTCATGGAAACAAACAGGAATCGTGGCCAATCGATAGACCGGTTGATATGAATCGAAGTTTCGTGAAATCGCTAATGAAAGCCCGCGTGTTTATAGTAACGAATTTTTTACGAATAACAAGTCGTGATGACCACTCGATTATTATACATACATCGGGAGTGTACAGTTGAAAGAAACCGGATGCCCGATGGTCGAGTCAAGTCTCAGGAGTGTACGGTTGAAATAAACTGAACACCTATTTGTAAATTCTTGCGCTAAAGGTGTAAAATCTGGCAGAGCAATTTTACGATTTCTTGTATCCTTTATTCTGTTACCCGCAAGGGTTCAATTAATTCGTTGCTAGCTGGTCGGAGTTAACAAGGAAAATTGAAACGTGCCGGTACTTCCGCATAAATGTATCTAACAAAATGCAGGGTGTTCGGCCACCCCTAGGAAAAATTTCAATTGGGGATTCTAGAGGCCAAAATAAATCGAAAATCAAGAATACTAATTTATTGATGGAGGCCTCGTTAAAAAGTTATTAACAATTAAATTCAAAAATTTCAAATCGTTCTGGAAAAATTATTTTCGGTTGCGGGGATCAATTACAATCATTTTTGGCGAATACACATACCTCCGAAATCCTATCCACTTTTGATAAAAAAAATCAGGTAGATGCTGAAATTTTTAGGCGAAAAAAAAATTTTTCAAATCGTTCTACAAAAATTATTTTCGGTTGCGGGGGTCAATTGCAATCATTTTTGGTCATTACACATACCTCCGAAATCCTACGCACTTTCCAGAAAAAAATTCCTTACCGAAAATCTAATTAGGTGCCTTTTTTCGACGAAAAAAAAAAATTTCAAATCGTACTGGAAAAATTATTTTCGGTTGCGGGAGTCAATTACAATTATTTTTGGTGAATAGACATACCCCCGAAATCCTACCCACTTTCTAGAACAAAATTCGAGGTGTGAAATTTTTCGATGGAAAAAAAAAATTTCAAATCGTTTTGGAAAAATTATTTTCAGTTGCGGAGGTCAATTACAATCATTTTTGGTGAATAGACATACCCCCCAAATCTTGCGCATTTTCGAGAAAAAAATTCAGAACAGGTGGAACATTAAGCGTTAATAACTTTTTAACGAAGGCTCAATCAACAAATTGGTATTCTTGATTTTCGTCTTATTTTGACCTCTAGAATCTCCCATTAAAATTTTTCCCAGGGGTAGCCGAACACCCTGTATATGTCCATTTGTGTTCCTAAAATCCTTATCCAAAAAATTATTTTACGATTCTCTTAAAATCCTGTTCCTACAGTATTTATTTTTAACATAACTGTTTTAAAAATATTCCTTATATTTTCATGATTAAAATGAGACGAAACACGACACAATTCTGGATGACATTTAGTTATACTTTTATTGTTTAAATATCGCGTTAATTCGACCATCGAAAAATGCCGGTTAAATTATCGCGTGATTGAAAGAACAACGGGACATTTCTTGTACGGTGTTGTTCCCAGTTTACGCGACATTCCAGAGCCTTCTCTGTGGCGTAATTCGTTTGGGGAACCAATACCGTATAGAAAAACCCCAAATTAAATTTCGATAACAGTCACACGATCGACTCAGTAACATTTCCTACAGAACAGATGTTACTACGCAGAAATATAGAGAGGATAGGACAATAATAAGAGATAGACAGCGCCGCGAGACGATAATTTCCCCTCTCATGGCCGCGGTTAAGAATGTCTGTCTATTCATCACTCGCTATTTGTGCCCATAATTATGAAAGTGGTCAAAGTCATATATTTCTTGTTTCGAGATATTTAATGAATTGCATTTGAATAAATTAAAAAATATTTTTATATTATGCAACATTTTAATTTAGAATTTTATTAGTCTTGATTAATGGAAACTTATTATGAATATGAAATTTTGTGTGAATTTTATACGAAATTGTTGTTTTTAAAGTTTGAATTGACTTAGACCGTTTTCAAAATTACCTGAATGTCCTATAAATGACTTAAAACAATAAAAGACCACGAGTTTTATTAGAAACAATAATTCATGAACATTTATTAATTATTTTTAAAAAGTAATCCATTTTTATTATTTTAGGTTTTTATCATTATGAGTTTTTAAAATTTTTAAAATGTTCCTGAAAAACTGGAGGGATGTATGGTAGTAAACACATAATATCTTTATGTTCTTCTTCCGTTACTGGTTTAGTGGTGGTGTATAATGGAAGTAATTTAATATTTCCATATACATATCTTTGGACTTCCTCTTTTAGGTGAAAGATCCAGAATGTGGTATTTAGAATTATCTAAAGAAGTTTGATAGAACATCTTATAAGGTTCATTTTTCAAGAATCTCATCCATTGAATTTGCAGCCAAGGGACAGATTCGCCTGCGGTATTTTTTACTCTTCTTGTCGTTGACTCTTCTAGTGGTTTCGTTGAAATAAAATCCAGCTGGGATATTCGTTTTACCGAAAATGTATTTCTTCTTCTCTACACTTTTCTATCAATTGATAATAATGCTTAGGGTTGTATAAGTAATTTGCTTTTTTTATTTTCATTTTTATCAACCCAAAATCACGGTCATTCGGTAGAAAGAAATAACGAGATACCAAAAATTTGTAGTGTATCGTTTCAATATTATTATTTGATGACTGAGCAATTTTCATCCATGTCAATGCTACTTTAATTTTACGATTTTGGCCTGTACAAGCATCACTGTAAGCTATTACGTGTTTTTGAGTAGTTATATCTTGAAGCTGTAGTTTCATCCCATACATACATCTTGACATTGTCATCATGGAAATTATGGAAACCCAAGTTGTATACGTACATATTTCGCTTATAATAAGCTAACGAAACAGAAAGTTTTGGATACGGGAGTGCTTTTTGCAAATCAAATGAGAATCCATAATATTCCCTGGGATTTTCTTTTGCTTTTTTCTGGTCTTCTGCAAGACAGTTCCTAGCTCGTTCGGTATTTTGCAAATGTAAATCATGACTTTGTCTAAGATATAACTTCTCTTCCTCATTACTGTATGCTTCGATTTTTCCCTCCAGTAAATCGCATTTTTGGCACGTGTCTTTTCGAGGAGCATGAAAATTTAAATTAAATTCAGAATTAAATACTTTCTTGTAGATCCACTCCTTAACAAATGATTGGTTATTTTCCTCACATATTTTCTTTACATATAGGTTATACATTTTACGAATATCTAAATCAGGACTCAAATATTTTCGACCAGAAGTGTGATGAGCTCTAGTGTAATGACTCTCATATGCTGGAAAACTTAAAATATATTCTCGTACAGCCGTTATCTTAATTTCATCTTAATTTCATCATAAAAAAAACTTCCTGCAAACCGACACTTCTGAATTATTATTTCTTGACAGAAAATATTTGTAGCTGCATTTTCTCATGGGTCTTTCAAAAGTTCTAGGCCGCCTTTGTTTTATTAGGTCGAATCATAAGTAATTTCCGATGCAGCTAAGTAGAATCTATTGTTCGTATCTACTCGCTATGAGTTACCATGACAACAAGTTTTTGTTTTCACTATATAGACGAGGCTTCAGTTAGTCTTTTGTCAACTGTTTTGTGTGATACACGTTACGTTAAACTGTTTTTTTTAACCTTTGAAATGGAGAGTCAAAAAGTACATATTCGCCATGTAATGCTTTGGGAATTTAAACAAGGCAATAGTGCTAAAGCGACAGCTGAAAAAATATGTGTATATGGTGAAGGACTAATAACTGATAGGGCAGTTAGAAATTGGTTTATAAAATTCCATTCTGGAGACACGACCTTAAAAAACTAACCAAGGGCGGGACGTCCTTCCGACTTTGACAACAACCTTTTAAAGGCAATATTGGAGCAAAATCCACGTCAATCAACAAGAGGTATAGCAGAAAGATTGAATACATCACAATTAACTATTAACCGCCACCTGGAAAAATTAGGGAAAGTCAGCAAGTTAGGAGTATGGGTACCTCACAATCTCAGTGAATGGAATAAAAAAGATCGCATGTCAATCGCCACAAGTCTGCTCTCACGGGTAAAAATTGAGCCTTTTTTAAACAGGATTGTAACAGGCGATGAAAAATGGGTTACCTATGACAATATAGTCTGCAAAAATCAGTGGCTTGATAAGGATCAACCACCCCTACCAGATACGAAAGCAAACAACCATGGGTTAACGATTACTATGGATAGATACGTTCAGCAGTTGAAAAGAGTGCAAGAGAAACTTGATGATGAACTTGAAATGAGAGTAAAATAAATGTCTGATAAAAAAACGGAAGTTACTTATGATTCGACCTAATATTAATCGTTGATGAACTGTAGACTACAGTTCATACTGTAGTACACAGATATAGATTTTGGGTTTCAAAATCTTTTAGTTTCCAGAAATTATCAAAATTAGATTTTCTTTCATTATATTCTACGCGATCTAAACATTTTTTTGAGCAAAAGCAATCCTTATTTTCAAAAGTTTTGGCACTCACAATTTTCAATTTTTTTATCGTGTATTCTTCGCCATTATTTCACTTAATTTTTCTGATATTTTATGCGTAACTACTTTCATTTTTTGTCCTCTTTTTTTTTTACCTTGCACCATTTCTGGGGTTTCTAAAGCACTGAAGTCTTGGTATAATTCATCTGAAGATGATAATTGTCTTATTCTTTTCCAATTCTTTGAAGTATTACGTGGTCGTATAATATCTGCAAATCACATCATATCCAAATGTAAGAGAATGTTTGCCTTGTATGCAAGTTGCGAATATTCACACGGTATGTACGTTGCGCAGGGAGATCGTTGTTACACCGAGCGGCCGATGTTTGAATGGGGATTGATTAGAAAGTTGTACTCCGAGACGGACATTGTGACAAGCAAATAAACTAATATTGTTTCAAATAAATTAATTTGGTTCTTTTACAATTATCAGAAGTGGGATTGTGAATCCTGAATTTAGTGCAAAGTTTGCTGTTGACTGAAAAGTGTGGAATTTCGTGCAAAGTTTGCTAGTGATTGAAAAGTGTGGAAATTGTGGTAAAACGTGAACTGTTTCTAATTAACTGTAACGATGGCAACGGTAGCGAAAACGGCAAAAAGCATTGGTGAACTAAGGATTCCCGAATTGAAAGCCATATTGCAGAAGAGAAGGCTGCCCACAACCGGGAACAAAACTGATTTGATTAACCGATTGCAAGAAGCCGATCCACACGCAGATTGGGTGCAAGAGAGTGAATTGTTGGAGTCAAGTATCAGGGAGACGGATATATCGGTTGACAGACGATGTTCAAATATAGGTGAAAGTGCTAGCTCAGACCGAAATCTTGCCACGAATGAGCAGTTGTTGCGAGAAATCGAATTGATGGAAAGGGAACGACAGCTCATGCAGAGAGAGTTGAGAATCGCTGAACGAGAGATTGAAATCCTGCGTGCTACGCCACCCTCAAGTAACGTTACAGCGACAGAAACACGGACAAGGATAGGTTTAAAAGCAGTTTCTGAATTGTTGAAAGATTTCGATGGGTCAGACGGATCGTCATTCCAAACGTGGGAAAGCGAAGTTAAATTGTTAATTGAGTCGTATGAATTGGATGCAAATGCGGCAAAAATATTGATAGGAACGCGGTTAAAAGGAAATGCGTCGGTATGGTACCATTCTCGCCCAGAGCATTTGAGGATGAGTGCCACTGAACTATTGGTTGAAATGAGCAAGATCTTCGACAGACGACAAAGTAGATTAAAATTACGAAGGCAGTTCGAAGAACGGAAATGGCGAACGGACGAGGAATTCAGCGCATATGTGCATGAAAAGGTTATTTTTGGAAACCTGGTATCGGTGGACAAGGAAGAACTTTTGGAATACGTTATCGATGGCATCCCGGATATTCAACTACGGAATCAGGCAAGGTTACAACGATTCAACACTACCATCGCATTGTTGACCGCTTTCGAGGGTATCAGCTTAGCGGACAGAACAGAACGAGTGGAGACCGTATCCATGAGGAGCTTGCAGAAGGAGAAGAAAATCCCGCCGCCGTCAGGAGTGGCTGCAGCGAGTGCGAGGAATCGGGACGCATCGCAAGCGGGAATCAGGTGTTTCAATTGTAGTAAGTATGGACACAAGTCTACAGAGTGCAAGTTACCCAGACGTGAAAAGGGCGCGTGTTTTAAATGTGGCGAAAAGGGACACTTGATTTATGATTGTAAAGACAGGCAAAAATCCGCGCACATTAATTGTGTACAGAATAGCTTAAGAGTAGGAAATACTTTCGAAAAGACAATTGTATTTGAAAGAAAGGGCATGGGCGCCGAAATACGAGTAAAATTAGATACGCTAATTGATACCGGTAGTTCGATTACGCTGATAAAAGAAAAGTTTATACCGAATGCATTGATCGATCGGTCAAAAGTTAATGGTGATACCTATTGTGGAATTAACGGAAGTAAACTAAATGTATTGGGGGTAGTAGTTGTCGATGTACATTACAACAGAGTAGTGTTAGAAGATGCGCGTGTTTACGTCGTCCCAGAGAATACGATGACCACTTCCGCTATTTTAGGTCGAGATTGTATTGATAAGTTTAAATTAAAGTTAACTGATCCGATTGCAGACGAAGATCAAAACGATTGTATCTCAGAGATCTTAAAAATTGATGTTATGGAATCCGGTGTTGATTTAACTGAATCGTTAAGCGTAAATTCGGAGATAACGAACGCGGATAGATTCAAGTTAGAAAAGTTATTTGAAACAGAGTATGTTTTCGCGAGGCGACCGGAAGAGCCTCAATGTAAAGCAGAATTAAAGTTACAGGTAAAAGATGTACAACCATTTACTTTTTCTCCAAGGCGTCTGTCATTTTCGGAGAAAGGGCAGTTGAGAAAAATCTTGGATAATTTAATTGAAAAAAAGGTTATTCGCTCCAGCGAATCGGAATTTGCGTCGCCAATTGTTATGGTTCGGAAAAAGAACGGCGAGCACCGAATGTGCATCGATTATAGAACCTTGAATAAGTACATAGCCCGTGATAATTATCCAATTCCTATAATTGAAGATCAATTGAATGTGTTGAAAGATAAGAAATATTTTAGTAGTTTAGATCTTAAAGATGGTTTCTTTCATATAAGCATGTCCGCGGAGTCAATCAAATATACAGCATTTACAACGCCTTTTGGACAATTTGAATTTTTAAGAATGCCGTTCGGATTAAAGCCGGCCCCGACAAGATTTCAGCGTTATGTAAACGAGGTGATAAGTGATTTGATTCGCTCCGGTGACGTGGTGGTGTACATCGATGATTTTTTAATTGCAACTGAGACGATCGAGCATCATTTTAGCGTATTGAAGCGTGTATTTAGAATATTAGTTAATAATAAGCTTGATCTAAGATTGGATAAGTGTAAATTTTTAAACACCAAAATCGAATACTTAGGCTATGTGATCACTGCAGAAGGTATTAAACCCACAGAATCTGGTATTGAAGAGTAAAGCGATTTCCAATTCCACAAAGTTTGAAAGCTGTGCATAGTTTCTTGGGTTTGTGCTCGTACTTTAGAAAATTTATTGAAAAATTCTCTATAATAGCGAAATCACTGTATGATCTGCTTAAGAAGGGTGTGCAATTTCAGTTCACTGATATTGAGTTGAACGTGTTTGAGAAATTAAAAACAAAATTGATTTCGGCGCCGATACTAGCAATATACGATCACCGTGATCCGACGGAACTGCACTGCGACGCCAGTACATTGGGGTTCGGTGCTGTATTGTTACAGCAAAAAGCTGATTGCAAATTACACCCGGTGTTTTATTTTTCAAAGCGCACATCAGAGGCTGAAAGTAAATATCACTCATTTGAATTAGAAACTCTTGCGATAGTGTACGCGCTCAAGCGATTTAGAATCTATTTGTACGGGATTCCTTTTAAAATCCTAACCGATTGTAACGCATTGAAACTAACATTACAAAAGAAAGATATAAACCCCCGTATTGCTCGTTGGGTATTAGAGTTAGAAAATTTTGATTATACAATAGAGCATAGGCCGGGCGAGCGGATGAAACATGTCGATGCCCTTAGCCGACTAAATAGTATTTTTGTTATTGAGGACCATTCATTTGAATATAGTCTTTCCGTGTGTCAGTCCCAGGGCCGGAATATTAAAGAATTAGCGGAAAAATTGCAGCGTACAGAAGATCAGTTCTTTGAGATGCGTAACGGTTTAGTCTATAGAAAAAAGGATAATGACTTATTGTTTTATGTACCGCAACAAATGGAAAAAAATATATTGTTCAAATATCATGACCAAATGGGCCACTTAGGGATCGAGAAGACAATGAATACAATTTTAAAAAGTTATTGGTTTCCGAAATTAAAACGTAAGGTGAAGGAACATGTAGGAAATTGCCTAAAATGTTTATCGTATTCGCCAACCGCGGGTAAGGCGGAAGGGGCGTTGAAGACCATACCAAAGGGCGAGGTTCCGTTTTTAACGCTACATATCGATCATTTCGGACCCGTTAGTAAGGATTGTCAAATAAAAAAATATGTATTTCTGGTAGTTGATGCGTTTACGAAATACGTAAGGCTATATGCAACGAAAACCACGGCGAGTAAGGAGGTGATTCAATGTTTGCGCGATTATTTTGCGAGTTACAGCAAACCCCTAGTAATTGTATCGGATCGCGGCTCGTCATTCATGTCGCAAGAATTTCGCGAGTTTGTAAATGACAGCAGTGTCAAGCATATATTAATTGCCACAGGATCACCCCAAGCGAACGGCCAGGCCGAACGTGTAAACAGAGTATTAGCATCAATGTTAGGTAAATTAATCGATAGCGATGGGAAACAATGGCATAAAGTATTGTATGAAGTCGAGTATGCATTGAACAATACAGTTAATAAAAGCACGGGTGAAACCCCGAGTCGGTTGTTGTTTGGGGTCGACCAGCGGGGTGGTGTAAAAGACGAGATTAAAGAATACCTAGATGCATACGTAAATAATGATAATAGCAAAAATTTAACAGAACTCAGGTCTAAAGCATCAGAAAAGATCATTACTTCACAGAATTATAACGAGGGGTATTTTAAAAACAAACGCAAATTGCCGCATAGGTACAATGTAGGTGACTATGTCATGCTCCGCAATTTTGATAGTACCGCTGGCGTGTCAAAGAAATTAATTCCTCAGTTCAAAGGTCCGTATGAAATTATAAAGGTGCTTCGCAATGACCGCTATGTAGTGAGTGATATAGAGGGATTTCAAAATACGCAAAAGAAGTATAAAGGAGTGTGGGAGCCGAAAAATATGCGACCATGGATAAATGCCACTGTTGACGATGATTGTGTGCGTGATGATAATAATTAGTGGTTGTAATATGGGCAGTGTTTATGTATTATGTATTATGACTTAAGATTTGGTATAGAATAAGGGTGTAACTGGTTACCTTCATTGTTATTAGTGTTAGTATAGTTGTTACATTGGATGTTAAAGCGAGAGTACGATCGAGGACGATCTTTTATCAGGATGGCCGAAACTGTAAGAGAATGTTTGCCTTGTATGCAAGTTGCGAATATTCACACGGTATGTACGTTGCGCAGGGAGATCGTTGTTACACCGAGCGGCCGATGTTTTAATGATGATTGATTAGAAAGTTGTACTCCGAGACGGACATTGTGACAAGCAAATAAACTAATATTGTTTCAAATAAATTAATTTGGTTCTTTTACACAAATAATAACACTGTTCAACACGAATTTTGTTTTTCCGTACCCACTAGGTGATTCTTGTAGAGCTTCGTACCCTAAACACGAATCTGGAAACGGAATTGCTGTATCACCCTCAGTTTTCGAAAAACACGAGTTTTTGTGAAAACGTACAATTTTGGGTAAAAACGAGGTATTACGCGAAAATTAAAAACATCAGACAGTTCCAATTAATCTTAAAAGATAGAGGAGAGATTTCTGAATATGCTAACATCGATAGTTATAATATTTTGTGCTTTTGAACGGTTGTAAATGATCGCCAAAGTTTGAAAAAGTGTCGAAGTACATACTTTATACACAATACTTTTGCATATTTACGAAAAGTTGTTTACCTGACACGAAATCTATACACACGATCTGATTCTGCAGACATTTCTGAAGAAGAAACTGTCCAACAGAAGTATAAAATCAGTTCTCAATTGTCACAGGTCGAGAAAATGTGTATTGGCAACGCGTGCACGGCGTTTTACCGCCACGCGGCCATCGCTAGCCTACCTCGGCTCGGCAGTGCCGTAGCTACGCATAATGGATGCGACACCGATAATATCTTAGGCTCCTAATTCCTGTATATGTTTATCATTTTTGATTTTTTAATCTGTTTGTGGATTTGTACAAAACATTTCTCGATCATTTCCATTTCTAAACAATTTCGATGTTCATTGTACGTATATGAATGGTTTTTTAAATATAAAGCCGTAAAAAAATAAACAACATTTTATTGTTGGGTTGCCTCACAGAATAGGAATAATATTCCTAAGAGCGAAGTGTGAATAGCAAGGATTTACTCCAGATCTTTCTTAGAAAAGCGTACATTTTCGAGTGATTCCATTGATAAGTTTACATGGATTTTGAAAATATAATTCAGTGATTAGTATCCTAGAGTATACAAATATATTAAGCAATAAAAGTTACAAAAAAAAAATCAAACATACTGTATACAGAGTGCATACCCTATTGCACCATTATACCAGTTTCGCTTGTAGGTAGCTACGGCACTGCCGCGCCGAGATAAGCGAGCGATGGCCGCGTGGCGGTCAAACGTCGTGCACGCGTTGCAAATACACATTTTCTCGACCTGTGACAATTGAGAACAGCTTTTACACTTCTGTTGGTCAGTTTCTTCTTCAGAAATGTCTGCAGAATCAGACCCTGTGTATAGATTTCGTGTCAGGTAAACAACTTTTCGTAAATATCCAAAAGTATTGTGTATAAAGTATGTACTTCGACACTTTCTCAAACTTTGGCGATCATTTACAACCGTTGAAAAGTACAAAATATTATAACTATCGATGTTAGCATATTTAGGAATCTCTCCTCTATCTTTTAAGATTAATTGGAACTGTCTGATGTTTTCAATTTTCGCGTAATACCTATCTTTTGCCCAAAATTGTACGTTTTCACAAAAACTCGTGTTTTTCGAAAACTGAGGGTGATACAGCAATTCCATTTTCAGATTCGTGTTTAGGGTACAAAGCTCTACAAGAATCACCTAGTGGATATTGAAAAACAGAAAAAAAAATTGAATTTGTAGAACAGTGTAATTAACATATTCACATAATAAGTACGTTGTCATTAACTTACCCGAACCGCTGTCTGCTGACATAGTGTTAGAATATATAAATTATTTTTCCGCCAATAATTAGTTCGGAAGAGCCCAAATAAATTAATGCACTTTCAAAATAGAACTAAATGAATTCTAAATATTGTTAAGTAGACCGGAAAGTATTGTCGTTTCTGTTATTGTTCGATTGTCATTTGTCGGCTTATTATATAGTTCAAAAACGCGCCAAAGAGGGCCACGTGCCATTTTAAGGTTATGTTTATATAATTTTTAAATTTTTGACTTAGACCATTTTCATAATTAACATTAAATGAATTCCATATAATGTTTAAATTACAACCACTATCTAATGGTTCATTTTTGACAATATCGTACAAATTACATTGAATTAATTTAGTTTAAAATAATGTGGTGTGAAATAACTGATAAATTCATTTTTTTTTAATTTTGACTTAGACCACTTTCATAATTATGGGCTCATTTGGTTCTTAAAAAGTTAGATACGTCTAATTTATCGAAGAATCACGAGAACGAAAATTCTAAGGAATCACGCCTAAGTCGAGACATTCGTGCCATACGTTCTCGTGCGTAAATCGATCAATGCGTTGAACGAACTATTTGGAAAATAATAAAATCACACTGATTTTTTTTCCAAACATTCAAAATAGCAACCGGTGGCTGATGCATACCAAGTTTACACTCTGATAGTGATTGGTTACTGCCACCGGTGTTCAATAAACACGTACCGCTGCAGTCAGCGATCGTGTACGAGATATCGAGAGAATTTCTCGATCCTCCCTTAATTATTAAACGGCGCTAAAAACTATCTATAGGGTGCCTACGACGCATGCACCCTGGGTGGAATCGCCATCCTTCAAGGTCGGGTCAATGCTTGGGATAACACCCCCATAGGGGCCTTCTTAGCGTATTCCCTGGGTGGACTCCCAGCAGACTTCGACCTGCTCGAGCGTGGTTTACAGATTGCCAGTGTGTACGGACACTAGGCGTAGAATGACGCTCAAAGGGCAACGTGGTGTAAGCACCTTAACGATTAGTAGCTTCTTGCGCAGTTAAGGGATAGCACCACACATCCCGTACGGACCAGGTAAGGAACCCGCGGAATAGACAACATTCGGAGCCTTGCAGTCGAGGAAGAATCGAGATTAG